GTGGAATGCGGCCCCGTAACGGCACATCCGTTAGCCACGGATCCGTCTGCCATAAAACGCGGGGCCTTATTGCGCGTCTCTCGCAGTCTCTACCCTTTCCCCCGACCGCCCCGCCCCTCCCCTTACTCCTTCACTCGCCTTTGCTCCGCGCCGCACCGCGAATCTTTCCAGCACCTCCTCTCGTTTGCTTTCGCGATATCGCCGCCGTGGAATGTGCATCAAATATTATATCGTATCCTTTCTCGTCGAATCGCATTTATTTGATACAATAGGAAGGTGTTGCGCGGCGAAAAAAATCCGACACGAAAGGAGGACATTTAATGGGTGGGGTGGGGGTGGGGAGAGAGAAAGCTTTCCGAAGGGAATGAATATGCTTATAGAGCACGATATCGGACCGGATTAAAGCGGGAAAGGAAACGATCGACTAGCGTCGAAAGCTCAGGAATCGAAAGAAGGAGTATCACGGAGCAAAGGGAAAGAGAAGGCACGCTTGTCTCACGTCCTTGGATTATCGGAGAGCTCCTTCGTGCGCTTCGATAAAAGTGGTACGAACGTGTATTACAAAAAAGAACGGCCATCGTGTCCTCGCTTTACTCTAAGCTATTGCGATCCTATCTAAAAACGATAAGCACCACGGATATATCGTCGTAAATTCTTCGAAGGCCGGATTACAACCGGTCGAGCACGCGCGCGCAAAAATATTGTATATCTTACCAAATACTCCCGACGAAGGATACTATTATAAAAGATAAAAGTTAAAGTAGCTTCCTTCCATAAAAATTACCATACGAGTTTCCGGAAGCATCGTCGCGTTTCTAACTTTTTGGATTACTTTGAGTTTTAACAGGATCCTTAAAGTTACCGTTCGAAAATCGTTCTCCGATAGTGAAATATTACAAAAGAAAAGAAAATTGATTTCGATCGAATAACCGTACGAATAGTCCTTGCGGTCGTTTACATGGCGGAAAAACACTATTGAAAAAAATAATCTCGACACTTCCGTCGGCGAATTTCACAGATCGATTGAATTACCAGCCGATTTCATTTCTAAATTGTTACGAATAGAGATTGCTTTGCTTTTATCATTTCACGGTTTTACTTTAGAGAAAAGACCGCGCGAGTATTTTTCTGAAAAGAAGGAAGTAGCTCGCGAACTCTTTCGAGGCAACCAATTTTCCGCGACACTTGGTAAAGCGAGCGGCATAAGAAAACGACGTTGTAAGTAATTCTGGCCGTCCTCGCGGCGGAGGAGGAGTAAGCGAGAGGGTGGGGACTAGGCATTTCCTCGAAAAGTACCATAAACACTTTAAAATGTGTTCACGGAGTTGCTCCGGACATGTAGCGAATGGTAATGGCTGAACTAACGGTGGAATTCCTGGAAACGCTTTGTACTCGCCATCTCTCTCTCTCCCTCTCTCCCTTCCTCTCAGCCTTACGAGCTCGTTCGAGCGTCGTACCAAATGCCGCGACTTCTTAAGCGGTATCTTAATAAGACGCGAGTACGAGACGTTAAAGTTTCGTTTCGATTACTATCGGCTCAATTTACCTCCGATATCAAATAAAGTACCATATATCGTTGAAAATGATCTAGCCGAACGGGAATTTATCTTTGACCGAACGAATATTCATAAATTTCTAGGTCTCTCGTTTACTGCCTGCCATGCCAAAGTCGACACTTTCCCATGGAGAGTTAAAAGGAGAAAGGGAGAGAAAGAATCGAGCATTCAGGGCCGTTGGCTTTAATTTCACCACGAAGAGAGCATTGTTCAAAGTTCTTCACTCTCTACGGATATTATTATTCAACGTGCCGAGGATTTGCTGGTGGTGCGAGGCAACGAAAGACGACAACTAGTTTGGATGTTACTCGTGAGAACGAGATCCTATCAAAATAAGAAATCTCGGAAACTAAAGGATAGCGTTAAGGACGTAAAAGGAAGTTTGTACCTATTTCAAAGTCGTCGTTTCAATTAATCGTCGGGGTAACCCGTCGGATCGTCTCCGCGATCCTAGGTTACAATACCGTATCGCAAACCGCTAACTGCTATGCTCGAGAAGCGCACGATAAAAGACGAAGAGAGCAAGCGAGCGATAGAGAGAGAGAGAGAGAGAGAGAGAGAGAGAGAGAGAGAAGCCGTGTGAAGGAGGGAGAGGACCGAGGAGAAGCATCTGGTTCGCGAAGCGATCCGAGTGCATCGATACGGACTCGTAGAGGAGCGCTCGTGAAGAACATCTTACACATTCCGATCCGTACGAAAGCTCGGCTGTGTTGCGCGCGTCGAGATAAAAAACAAGCGATTTGTTTCGCAGTTAAGAGAGTGTGAGAGAGAGAGAGAGAGAGAGAGAGAGCGCGCAAAAAGAGAGAGCTAATTCCTGGAGACGACGCGCTCTCGAAACGGACCAATAATCGTGAGATAATAAATCACGATTGTGAGTGAGAGAGAGAGAGAGAGAGGGCAAGAGGGATGCTCTTGGCGAAGATTAATCGCATTCATCGTGATTTACGCGAGAGCGAAGATGGAACGGACGAGAAGGAGAAAGAGAAAAATCCTAAAAAGTAGTCCATTCTTGTAAAGGAGGGCGCCTTGTCGGACAAGACAAGAGTTCATCGTCTGATTTTAAAAACGGACCATCGAAAGAGCTTCTCTCTTCCTGTCTGCCCGAGAGCATCGTCGAAAACTAGACTCATTGGTAGTATCGACGAGCGAGGAGAAAAGTCCGGCAACGAGCGAAAACCAAGAAGAATTCCAAGAGCGAAATAAAAGGAGTGTAATACCGAAACGAGAGGATTCCTGCCCCTGCACGGCAAGAGGGATGAGAGATCGCACAGAGGGGAGGGAGAGAAATCGAACAGAGTTGGATGGACGGGGGGGAGTGCGGATGGAGGAGGAGGAACGAGGAGAGGACGAAGAAAAAGGTAGCGTTTGGATGGTGGGGGAAACGAGAGGGTGCAGGAAGCTGGTAGGAGCAGGAGAGAGAGAGAGAGAGAGAGAGAGGGGTTTCGACTAAGGTAGCGAGAGTGGAATACTGGAATGCGCTCCCAGAGGCCATTTCAGTTCGATGTCCTCCGTTAGCTCTCGAGTCTTGCCAGCTCCGAGCATCCTCCGCCGCCTCCACCGCGCCTCCCCCTCCCCCCGCTTCCCACTCCGGCTCCTTCTCGTTTCTTCTCTCGACGCTACGCAGCATCTTTCACCTAGAGCCTGCCGATCCTTGCCCATTGATTTCTCTGCTTCCCTGCCTGCTACATCCAGACGCGGCCTATCTTTCTTTCGAGACTCTCTCTACCTCCTTGTACTACTTTAGAGTGAACGAATATAGTCTCGAGCAACTCAACTTTTCTACGGCCTCCTCTTGGATTTACCAAGAAGAGAGACAAATTTCGGACATATTCCATCGCGATCGCTTTCCTAGATCCCAATTGATTCGAGACAAAGATAAATCGCTGAGACCTTTTGACTTTTCACTTTTTTTTTTGTTTTCTTTCTTTTTAATAAAAATCGGATTCTTGATAAGAAAAGAAAAAGAAACACGATCGATCGAAATTATCGCTCATACAAATCGTCCGTAACCGATAACATTGGTATTCTATAAAAGATCGAATAAATATAACTCTATCTAGCTATATATGTCGTTCGGGCACCCATGGATTTTATTACGTACGTTCGTCCGAAGAAAAATAAAAACCGATTGAATGATGGATACCATCCGGTATCGTGCGAACATTTTCTCTCTAGGCAAGACCGACAGACAACGACGTTTACAAAGTTAACGCGCGCGAATTTCGAAACAAATCTCTCGAAGCATGTAGCACGTAGTTGAGCCATCAAGGCGCCAACGCTCGCTCCTCTTTGCGCCGAGATTTCGCTCATCACGATAACCAGTTCAACGTTCTTTGCCAATCGAGAATTCGTCTATACGATGTTGCTAAGTGAAGATTTTTCTTTGCTTTTTTTCTTTTTCTTTTTCTTTTTCTTTTTCTTTTTTCCTTTTTTCCCCACTTCGATCGACTGCATCGAAGGAAAGAAAGAGAAAGAGAAACGGACAGATAGTTTGAAACGAGGCTTCGCAAAGCCGCTACTCGCTTATCGTTTACTCGACACGTGTCGCTTCGCGATGGTGCGCGCGCGCGTTCTCTCACTTTTTTCTCCCTCTCCTTCCTTGACGCGACTTATCTCGATGCGAGTATTGTTACCAGCATTGCGAATCGTAGTACGAGCGCGGTGACTATCTCCACGTGCGAATCGTGCCGCTATGCTGACGTTGGCGGACGCGATAAGCTGGAAGTAAAAGGAAAAAAAAAGAAAAAAAACTCTACGTAGTATTTCGCGTGGATGCACGCGCGTGCAAACGACGCAACGAAACTCTGATATACCGAGAAAACGGTAATATCGCGTTACGAATGTAGGCGAATCGCCTTATGACTTTGAAAACATATTCCTTGCTCGATTATATAACGTGTACGAATATCAATCTTTATTAGTAGCAATCCGTGTCGTGCGTCATGGAAAAGAAAAAGGAAAAAAAAAAAAAAAAAAAAAAAAAAAAAATTGCTTCGCGTTCGTTCGTTTTTTCTTTAATTTTCATTTAATCGGTTTGATATGCCGCCACGACGTAACGTCCACGGAGACTAATACGATCGTTTCGTTTTAAAAATGATTTCGTGCGCGATTAATTGCCTTGACGCCAGCCGCGTCCGGGTTTCTTTAATCGAATTCGTTCGAAGCTTTTGGGAAGAGGTTTACTCGGTTCAGCTACGGTTGGACCGATTCGAGGGATCAATTATCCCATGAGTTTGCCTTTGCACTCTCATGGCCACTTATAATTCGTCGCTTGGTTCGCAACTAACGAGTCCTTGGACGTCAATAGTTGGATGATTATCGTTTAGCGGGGACCTCGTTTAGTCGTGTTCTCGCAGTTTTTCTTTGGTAAGAAGTTGTACAAATAAATCGATAAAGCTGTATACGATAGCGTACAGTAAAGGCATTACATATTTGGCAATAATAGAATTGGCAACGAGACAGGAAATTACATAAATGCGGCCAGAAGGGATGAGAGAAATCAGTCGGACGAAAAAGAAATACGAGCGTTGAACGAACGTACAAAGGTGCCGTTTCGTTCGAGTATAAAAAGGTGCTCACCGATAAGCCAACTTGGCAGTACCGAGGAGTCAAGGAGGTGGACCGAAGAGTGAACACCGGAGAACGGGAGAATGAGATACCGCTGCTATAATTCTTACCTCGAAGGAAACTTTCTCTCTCACTTCCTCTCTTCCGCTCTCGCTCTTAGATCGTAGATTCCCTTGTCGGTTACAATAACGTGTATGAAATAAAAAAACTTTGGCATCGGTGGTGCTGAATATCTCATCCGATCCGATTGGCAAAGCGAACATAGATAGGGTGGCAAAGATAAAACGTTCTATTAAATCCAAACACACTTTTTCTTTTCTCCGTTTCCTAGTAGGCGTCAGGGTTACTCCATTTTTCTAACGACCTCTCGATCCATTATTCCGACGAGTTTTGTCCTCTCGTCGAAAATGTAGTCTCTCTCTCTCTCTCTCTCTCTCTCTCTCTCTCTCTCTCTCTCTCTGTAGACACCGACGACTCCGATGTCAAACTCGGTCTCGAATTTTTTCTGAAAAGTAAAAAAGAAAACGTAGAGTTTAATACGCGACTAGTAATCCGTTGGTCGGATTCGTCGAAGGCGAAGTTCGTACGATCGGCAAATAAGGCTTAAGGGATCAATGAACGGAGAACAAACATCCGGAGATTAACAGGCAGGATGATTCATGAGTTTATCTCGAAGCCTTGAGAAGTCTGGAAGACCCCTCGAGGAGTAACACCGGCGATTGTTCGAAGTGGACGACGTCGCGTTACACCAAAGAACGGCAACACGAGTCAGCTATGCATCCTTGCATTCCTCTCTCACGCTGTGGCGGCCAGAGCCAGCCCACACACAACTATCAAACATTAACGGTGGAGCAGGGCAAGAGGAAGGAGGCGGCCACCACGCTCGTATAAGGCCTGTCTTGCCTTCCTTTGCTCGGTATACTCTCTCTCTCACTCTCTCTCTCTCTCTCTCTCTCTTCCCCTCGGCGCGTTCCGCACCCCATACCGAGCGAATGCTTACGTACACAAGCTCACGAGAGCACAGTATACCCAGGTTCGCTTCCCTATCTTTCTCTCGCGTGCATCTTTGCCTTCCGAGAAGTCAACAGGAGCAACGAGAAAAATGTCCGTGCACTCCCTCCTTTCTCTCTCTCTCTCTCTCTCTCTCTCTCTCTCTCTCTCTCTCTCTCTCTCTCTCTCTCTCTCTCTGTCGTATAGGAAAAGTTTCTATTAAATGAATCGTCGACGAACGAATTTAATGTACCTCCTATTTAGAATATTTTTCCCATTTTCTTCCTCTTCCTTTTCTATTAGTAATGTCTTGAGAATGGAAAATATCTTACATTTGTGCAAACCTTTCACCGTAGGAACGTGGATTCTATCGCGGCTTTCCAAGGATAAAGATCACAGGACGAACTCGATCCTTCGAGTTCTGGAAGTGCGATGCTTAAATATCAAGGATCGAACAAAGAGTTTCTCTTATTCGAAAGGATTCCAATGACTCCTTCTGCGAGCGATAGGCGACTTTCTCGACTCCGACTCTCGAAGAATAATACGAGAGAATGTATAGTCAAAAATAAAGAGAACTTTGTAGAGAGAAAGGGAGAAAGATAGAGTCAATAGCTTTCACGAGGTCGAAAACTCGATTGGTGAATATCTCCCAACTATCCTTTGAAAGGGAAAACTTTGTTAGAGAAGGCGCAAAATCTATGACAAACCTGAACGATCTCGATAATAAGAAGCGTAAAAAGCACACGGGTCACCCCGTGTAATGGAGCATAAAGCTAGCCTACGTGCTGCAATTTGTGCGAAACTCAATAGGAGGTGGTTCGCACGATCTATGAAACTAGATCGGATGTGTGTATCTCGTACGGGAGGAATCGTCTACTAAAGTGATCCGTCGGCACGCTCGATCGCGAATCATGCCTGCTGCGAGGAGAAGGAGGAACAGGATAGCAAAGTTCCGCTGGTACTTTTTTAATCGTATCGATACGGATTTCAAAGAGGTTTCTCCGAGGTACAACGCTACAAAATTTTAATTCTATTGCGATCGATCCTTCGACGATACTAAAATCTTTTTCCCCGAGGACATTTTCGCGAAACGAATAGATGGCGCTTGGCAATCGAAAGATTCGCGTGACGTAAACGGCAGGAGAGAGAGAGAGAGAGAGAGCTACTCTGGAGAGAACTCTGGAATTCTCTGGCTGCTGCTGCTGCTGCTGCTGCTGCTGCACCTTGTCGGCTCGACGCGCAGGTGCATCCTCTCGCTCTCGCGAGAAAGCAAGAAAGCGAGCGCTTCCCCTCGCTCTCGTCCCCCTCGATCTATTCTATCTCTGTCTCTTTGGCGCGCGAGCGCAAAGACTTTGAAGCGAATGCCATAGGTGCCGTAGATCGAGTGCTCGCGCGCGAACAGAGAGATGGAAGAACGCTGCAAGAGGAAGAAAAGGAGAGAAGGCGATGCAAGATGCTAAAGAAGGTTAGCCCGAGCTAGCGACCTTCTAAGGCCGCGACGAGCGAACGCTCGCCACTCTCCTCGTCTTTTTCCACTCCTTCCACGAACCAACTCGATTGGTCGTATGGTTTCAACTCGTGCGCCTCTTCGTTCCTTCTCCGCTCGGTTCCGACGACCGCTTCTTATCTCGGCGAGCTCCAAGCATCGACCGTTTAAGGATGAAAACGCGGAAAGCTCCGTTCCGTGATTCTTTTCTTCGATTAGCCCAGGAACGTCCGAGTGGTCTTAACGTTATAACAGCGGGTAACATTATCCGAGTGATATTCGAGTGATATTTTTTCTACATTAAGATTAGAAATTTTGGCGCTATTATCGAGACACGCGCTAAGCGGGAGGGAAAAACAACGGCGAATGTATTAATATTATTCCATTATACCACGTTCCGGACGTACAAGGTGAGCCGGTGTGAAAGGTGTGATTGTAGCGCTTGGATGCATTTTTATTCGCTTCTACGACTTTCAAGAAACATGGGCATATACATACGTATGCCTACGTATCTATTATATATATGCATACGTACATACGTGGTGCCCACATACACACACACACACACACACACACACACACACACACACATATATATATATGGGCACGTGTGTATATCTAGTATATCCGTATATCCACTAGTATATACGTATATCCACTCGCGGTGCACGTTGCGGAGATAATGCAAACGACAATGCAACGATCAGCGAGGCCAAAGAGACGAAACAAACGATCGGTCCTTTCGTAGAAAAGCCATTCCCCTTTCGCATTTCCTTTTAACTCGTTTCTTTTCTTTTCTATTTTCTTCTTTTCCTCCCTCTTCCTACTTACTACGCAATTTGAGCGTAGGTGAAATATTCGTTGGAATTAGTCCGAGACGAGTGAGAATATTGCGAAACTGTTCGATTAGGAAGGAATCGTTGATAATTTTATTTTTTCGCTCCTTGATCCAAATGAAGAGAGTGGAATTACAAAGGACGGTGGAACTCGAGATACAATCGATACCGATGGATGAGACGATAAAAAATAAATATGAAACGGGAATATTAATTTTAAAGGTGAGATTACGCTTTACGTAATCTTCGTCCGACGATTTCTACGGCTCCCACTCGTATAAGGATAATTGGCTTATCCGAAGACCGAGGTAACAACTTTATTATTCGCATTACAGATCGGTATAACCGATCTCTATAGTCCTCTAGCCAAAGAATTCTCCGATCGGGGGACACTTTAGCTTGGATTTTATCGCGATCCAGGGTGAAAATGGTGGTGTAATTACGGACTCCTATTACTTGGCGATAATGGTATTTGAAAATATTACGATCGTTCGTCCTTGATTAACCGAGAGAAGAAACTCGTCCTCGAAATTCGTCGATCGTATCGAATTCATCGTTACGGAAATTCTTACATTTTCTGACATCACGCGCGTCTCACGTGCTACGTCGAAAAGGTTGCACGGTCGTTACGCAACGTTCCTTTCGAGGTATCGTTCGCTACAATTCCATAGTAACTATAAACGGCCATCAATGCGACGAGCCTCGACAACTTTATTGCTATCTATAACGATAAAGCATGCTAATGGAATTCTCGAGAAAGAAGTATGGCTTGACTTTATGAATTCTAATAATATTCATAATACATATTCAATCGGCGTCGTTCATTGATTCGAGATACGGCTGGAAGATAGATTCCATCTTAACGGACTTAACGGCGTTGCATTAATCGTTTACGTCTCGGGTATAGGATGATATTTGGGTTAACGCGGTTCGAACGAGTTTCGATTTTCGTCAAATTTATTGGCCTGTGAAGTGTTCGGTCTGTTTGGAGTTCGTCGAAAACAAATTGGAAACGTAAACATAAACATACGGCTACGTAATGGGTAAACGAAGAGAGAACGCGACGCGCGTCGGTCATATCCGAAGGATCGCGTTCCACGCGAATCATCGAATATCGAGGATAGTCGAATCGAAGAGCATCCTCGAAGAGCATCCCGCGGTCGCGTTGCCGCTCCTAGCTATGCGCCGCATTCTTGGAATAGCAAGCGCTCCGTTAGAACCGTATACTACTCCGCTATATTCTCCTCGAAGCAAGAAGCGCGGCTCTATTCTCGCGCATCATCGATGACGAAAGTCGCGAATACCTTGCCGAAAGATAATACGACCGTATAATACGGCTAAGCCGTTTGGTCTACGATCTAAACGCGAGCCTTCCTTCGAGATCACGCCTCCTTGGGAAACGCTTCCTTGGAATAATAATATTTCTATCGTAAGTTTCGTCGACGCGACACGATTTTCCAGCTTAGAAAACGATCGAGAGCGGCCTTCCTCCTAAGGTCGCCTTCTTTTTTTAACTACGTAAGTAAACATAGCAAAAAGTTTGTGCGCAATTCCTGCGTTATGTCATAGGTAACGTCTCATTTCGATATACCCGTTCATTTATTATTTATTCGCGAATTAACTGATCACTCGTTAGAATCATAACTTTAAAGATCTTTGTTAGATCGCTTTAAGGGAAAATTGTTTTCATTTCCGGTCTTACGATTTCAATGAATTTGTCAATATATTTCTTATTTCTTTGAAGCGACTCTCAAACGTCCTAAAATTGTGATAAACAAACAAATGTGTAATTAACAAAGAACAAATTCGCGAAAATGCCTACCTCGGACTCGGACGATAAATTTATTTTTTACACTCCGATATATCGTGCCATAAATATCGTGTGACGTGAACGTACCGCCGTTTTTTCTTATTTTCCTTCTCTCTCTTTTTCCTTTCGCGTTTATTCCTTTTCCCAGAAACGAAGAGGAAGGTTCACGCCTCAAAATAGATCTCTTTAGCCTTATTACGCGACCTTTAAATTATGTAAACGTTTGCTCTATGGTCCATCGCTGTAAAAAGCGATTAACACGAGACGGCCGACCGCACGTAAGTGCTTTCCTCGATCTCGAGCCGATCGTCTTCTTCTACGACATATAAATCTTAAAAATGTCGTGCGCGGAGTGATTAATGGCGAAATAAATATTTTTCTCTCTGGAGAGAGAGAGAGAGAGAGAGAGAGGGAGAGAGAGAGAGAGAGAGAGAGAGAGAGTTTTGAAATTTCCTGTTGCTATTTCGTGATCAACGCCGCGACGACAATTTCCACGCGGAGATGGAAGAAAAAATTTAGATGGGGATCATCGAATGACGTATATACGTGCTCGTATATCGACGATGGCGACGTTCGTCGTGTACACTCGCACGCCCACGATATCGAATATCTTTCGATGATCAGCAAAAACGACGGGAATTCAAAGTACATACATAAATGAGAACGTCACTGGAAAGGTGAAACCATTCCAATGTCTCTCTTTCTTTCTAACGTGCTTAGATCGAAGAAACGAGCGTGTCCTCATTTGGGGAGTGGGGGGTATACTTTGAGAAAATAGAAAACACGATCGGCATCGCTCAATAGATAAGACTAATTACCGCAGTTGCGTTCATTTAAACGCGCACGGTAAGAACAATTTAAGTATATAACGTGCCGTTCGAGTCAACCGTGAAAAAAATTCTTTTGCTTATCGCTGTGCATTTCCTACTGCCTTGTCTCTTTTCTCTGTCGACGCAACCCTCAGGAACTATTAACGAGTGAAATCTCTGGCGATTAGAATCGTTCGTAAGCAAATGCATCTTGCTTTCATACATTATTCCCGGTCTAACGGATGGAGAAAAAGGAAATAGAGAGAGAGAGAAAGAGAGAGAAGGAACGATCGTATTGCGACTCTTCGGCAAGATACGCAAGAGAAAAGGGAGCGTGTAAGCAAAAAGGTAAGAAAAATAATATCGGTAGTGTAACGAGAGGAATGGCGAGGATCCTTCCGAAGGAATATCGCTGTCTCAGCGGCACATCGGTGCGCGTGCGCCACTGAAAGAGATCACCAAGATTCTTTCTACTATAGCTCGTATAAAGTTGCAAGTATTTCTGCTTGATGGGACACGATTGGTGTTTAAGCGTTTTCTAATCCACGCGCAACTTCCTATTACGTAGAAGAATATCTGACCTTTTTCGAATTTGCTTTTACGCGAGAGCATTGGCAAGCGCCGTTTGCTCGTTGCATAAGGGAAATGTCGGCGAAAAAGGCACGACGTAGTTAGTTATTACGACGTTGTCGTGGATTATCTTACATGGTCGTTCGTTCGTCGTTTGAAAAAAAAAAAAAAAAAGAAAAAAGAAAAAAAACCGATATTATTGTTGTTTACTCGTTGGTCGTTTCGATAAACCGTAGAAACTCGAAAGACACGAGATAGCAAGGAGAAGGAGCATTGTCCAGAAGGTGCAATCCCCTTTTATTCGTGGCAATTAGCGAACGACCGACAGGTGCACGCGTATTCGCCCAAGTGCGTCAAAGTGTGCAACGAAGGCAGGGCCGAGCGTATTAATTACCACTGAGCAAACGAAGCCGACTGTACGTATGCGCGCATACGTAGTAGATATTTACGTGCTTACGTACGACGCGCGAGTATGCGCGTCCTCGCGAGCACGATCGCTCGACTAACATTTTCGAACGAAGGATGTGTCGAGGCCGTTGCAAAATAGAACGAATGCTCGATGGATGGCCGACTTATTTTTTATCGAAATAAGTAAGACGCATTTCTTAATGCAACTCGTTTCTCAATAGGATATCGTATAGACTTTTTTTTTCCATTCTAAACGATAGGTTTACTTCCTTGGCTAAAATAAAGCTTACGTACGATCGAAGGAAAGTCCGTAATTTGCAATGGCGAGGGCGTATATCGAAGTCGAAGGAAGGAGTCGAGTGGTCGCGTCGAATATTTTAATAACGCTCGCGGAGCATGGCGGACGGTCACTTTCCTACGTACGCACGTAACGTCTTTCGGGAGAATTTCCATGACATGTGCGACGCGTTTACCTAATCCAATTTAACGAGCTTCGAGAGAGAGAGAGAGAGAGAGAGAGAGAGAGAGAGAGAGAGAGAGAGAGAGAGAAGAAAAAAGCAACTCGGAACGTAGCGATATTGTCGCCTCGTCAATGGAAAGCAGCGTACTGTAAAAACTATTTCTAGGTTCGCCTATCAATTACACCGGGAAACTCGTACTCGAGCGCGAACGTACGCAGCGGCATTCGCGTAAACGGCCGCGGCCAGAGTAAACTGCCGTTAATGCGCGTAGGCTGCAGCACCAGCAGCAGTCAGGTAGGTAGTCGTTCGAGAATGAATGAACGAACCAACGTCCTGTTGGCGTAGTCTAACAATAAGTTTGAAAAATGACGCGGAACGTGCAGACCGTCGAAAGGAACGCGCGCTCCGTTAGACGTTTAACGAGCTCGTATTATCATCGTCGGGGAGGACGCGCGTCGACGGCTGTCGTTACTGACAATCGCCTTGCTTTCGTAACGCAGGTATCGCCGCTGACGCACATACACGTACAAAATATTTTTCATTGTTTCCTCCGTTCTTTCGGTGCAAATGCATACGTGTTGCGTCAGCGCATCGCCGTGACGCACGTCGTTGGTTTATCGGTATTCCAACCAAAAGAAGGATACTTCGACGTACGTATAAAAAATAAGACATATTATGGCAACTCATTTTCCCAAATAATATTTATCCATAATCGTATCGTTTTTCCAAAGATCTTTTTTCTTTTTTCTTGTAAACATCTACATATTTGGTAAATTATTAAAAGGTATAAGATAAGAGGTAAGATATCGTAAAAGGTTCAATTTATTAATACGCCTCGAAATATATTTTCTCTTTTCATTCAAGTGCGATTTCGTACGAATCGTTTTCTTCCAGACGAAGCGAGAACGGATTCGCGACGGGACTTTTCCCTTTCCCCCACCCTTTTTGCCGTGCTCGATCGTTGGCCTCGAATAACTGTCCGAGAATGCCGAGAAAGGCCCGCGAGGTATTCCGTGCGAGCGGCGGGAGCAATGCGGAGTCTGCACTCGCTAATTATTTGCCCTGCGTCGTTGCGACGTCGCGTGGGCCGCCAACGTCTTCGTCGCCGTCGTCGTCGTCGTCGTCAAAGGCGGATTAAAGAAAGCAATCGGCCTTTCAAAGGGTTCCAAACGTAAGAGGAGAGCGTCTCTTTGACGCTCTTAGTCAAAGCCTTTAGAGGAGCGGCAAAACATTGGTCCGAGGAAAGGTAATTTTTTTCGATCACGCGAGAAGAAATGAGAATTATCGCTCGTTTATATTAACCTAATAGTAACTTGCGTGCCGCGACAAAGTTCCGGTAGGCACGCCTACGACGGACTCGGGGTTGAGGGAGAGAAATTGACTAGGTGGCACGACTCGGCCGCGCGACGAGTCAAGGAAAAAGGCTTGCGTCGTCGATAGTCGCCAGCTCTCTTGGGTTTAACGTATTACGGGCAGATCCTGAGATTGAAAAAAGAAAAAAGAAACAAGGGCGAGCGAGAAATTGGCGAGTATTGAGAGAGAGAGAGAGAGAGAGAGAGAGAGAGAGAGAGAGAGAGAAGAAAGAAAAGTTGGACATCATGTAGGACGGAGGCAACTCACCCTCGGTGTCTGCGGCTAAGTTTTCAATAAGAGCAACGTAACGAGGTTGATTTGTCTACGTAAGAGAAACCACTTCGTGTCCGCACGAACGTGTACGTTATTTATCTGGAACGATCGTGCAACAGAAATGTTCCTACCGGATGTGGCTCTCCCGACTGTCACCGGTTCTATACCGGTTCCCATATGGACCTTGTTGCACGCTCCTGACGTACGTACGTACGTACGGCCAGATGACGTGACGAGAGGAAAATACGAGAGCGGCTCTGGGGGAAGGGAATGCGTCGAAGGATTGCTCTTTAAGCAGACCTTTTTCATCGTCGATAAAGATAGACGAATCGGTAACAACGAGAGGTTCCTCCAATTCGATCGCTTAACTTTATATACGAAACGCCAAGTTTAAAATCTTTACTTTAAATCTTTCCTCGTTAATTGGCCATAGGTATCGCGGTAGTTGTCCCTTTCTGAGAAATCTTCGAAAGATCCAAAGAGAAAAGATCTAGAGGAAATTTGATCGTCGAATCTCCAAGCATATATTATCGCTTTATTAGGTATTAGATAGCGCGAAGCACGCGCGTATAAAGGACCCTTGTCACGTTTCCTTCGGCCTTCTTCTAAGATCCACGCGCAAAGAACCAATACTCGACGGCGAATTGGATCTTTCTGTCTCATATTTGAAACGCTCGCCGACAATTCCTCGTGATTTTAATTCAACGAACTGTCAGCCACTTGCGTCGGTCGCCCGCATACGTAGCTTGGAATTCCACCAGAAGGTGGTGTACGTTCGACCATCCTTGGAAATTTATCGACAGAGAAATTCGAAGCTTCCCGAGTATCGTTATCTACCTTACTTTCGGAATTTCTCTCTTATATTCAAATCTTAGTCGAATCCGCTGCGAAAACAGATCCGTATTTCTTTTCCGTAATCGAGTTTCATTGGTACGATCGGGCTTTTTTTTTTCCCCCCAGTATTCTGACCTTTTGTCAAGCGACGAGCAAACATTGGCAACGGCCTGGAAGGGTACTACAGATCCATCCGGCTAAAATTTACTCGGAAGGATACCTGTTGAACTTGTACGCACAAAATGTATCGGGCCGCGATTTTTCAATTTTCGCGAGTTAATTGATTTCTAAATTAATTATCGCGTTCCTTCGCTGTTAATCGATCTCGATGAACGATTGCCGTTGACGTTGTTTATATCGTATATATTCGAGAACTCACCTGTGCGCGTTTTGCGTCGGTCAGTGCGTGCCGACGCGACGCGACGCGACGAGTTACGTCATGCAGGAGCCTTCGGCCTCCAGGTCGTGAACCCCTCAAGAGATGACGGAAATAACCGACCTAACTCTCTTAGCACCGCGAGACTAGCTCGAGAGATATACCCGCGATGCTATCTTTACTCTTTTTCCCCTCCACTGCTTGTGACGGACCAACGAATACGTTAAGGCTCGTTCACACGAAGATAGAAGCCCGTGATGCGCCCCGTGGGATATGCCGTCGGGAAGTAAGTAACTTCAAAGAGAAGTTGCGTTACTCCGAGACCGCCTAACTCTTCAAGGAACGTGCGTCCGTCCGCTTAAGCGAAAATTTATACCAACGGATCGACCATCGATGGATACGTGTTATATCGTGTTATATCGGTCATTGGACAGATGTGAGGATAGCTTTTCGGTACTTGTCCCGACTATGTTTACGTCGTTTCGTCTTCGTTCTAGCGTCGAACTGGATTTATCCGGCAGCCAGTGCAGCAGCTATCACTATACACTCGCGACACCTTACTCGACTTGGCAAGGCGACTTTTCCTAAGGTAAATATAGCGGCCGATCTCGGTACACTCACGCTCTTCGGCGACCGAGTGCGACGGTGAACCCACGTAGGCGCATAAACACGCATAAACACGAGGGCGTACGTGCGAAGACCTCGTCAACACCGAAATCATTTCGTATCCGTAATTCGCATGCCGACACGCGTCACCGTTTCTCCCAAGGTTCCCCGATGATTTTCATCGAGCCCTATGAAATAGTACTCGATCGGCCCAGGAGATTCCTCTCCTGTACGACGATAACCAACGACAAAGCGAAAAGGGTTAACCTTTTTCTTCTTTGTCGATCGCTACTAGGGACGGGTTAGCCCCTACTTATTATATGGTCTATTTATCATAAGATCGTTTTAAAGAAATTAAGCACTTACCCTCGTAAGTTGTTCCTTCCGGGTGGGGGCTCGACCAAGCAAGCTACCTTTGACCAAATGCGCTAACCAATGCGGATTATTTTAAAGGGGACCTTTTAAAAGCCGCCTTTTTCTTCTTCTCATATTTTACGGGGAAAGACTCTTAGGTAGAGTCTCCAACGTTTCTCTACAAATCCAAACTACAAATTTAATCACCACTTCTTTACCATTCCTGATAACGAGTTTACGAGCCTCGACGAACGAGCGATTGCGAGTTAACGTTCGTCAGCTGTCAGCACGCGCGCTCGATCGACGTCATAGGCGACGACGAAATCGATCGTCACGTGGCGAAAACACGACGTCAGGTAATATCGCCTCTATCGCACCTCTATGCCATTGTGCTAAATGCATATATGAGCTTTTTGCGTCGAAGCGACAGCAGTGCATTCGCCTTTCGCAACGCATCGCGTTCCCAGGCGTTCGTTCTTACGTAGTTTACCGTAACACAAGCCTCGAATGTAACGATTTCACGATTAAACGTTATCGCCCATTTTCGTTCTAACAAAAGAGGCGCCACGATCGTCTACGTCGATCGTCAAGCGATTTCTTTGTTTTTTTTTGTCGCTCATTCACGAGCGAACGTAGACGTTCGAGTATATATCATTTTTCACGTTGTTTCACGACGATTCTGAACGAACGCGGAGGAGAGTCGCGCGGTCCTATATATAGAGATAAAAGAGAGAAAGAGAAAAAAAGAAAGGGAGAGAGCGCACGATCGCGTTCCATGCGCGATTCTTTCGTCGAAACGCGCGCGCGAGAAATCCGCTGCCGCCTCTGCGCCGTGCGATCTTTTCTATTGAGTCTCGCGCGAGAACAGCCTCGCGAAAATGTCAACGATCCCACGTCGATTTCGGAGAAATTTTCGTTAAATCGATTATTCCCTTGATCCATGTACTCGAAAAAGTGTCAACGTTGTTCCTTCTCCTTGATGACTAAGACGCGCCGATTGTTCTCGGTGAGTGCGCATTTTTTTTCCTTAATAAAAATTTTAATAAAAGAGCCTGCGAGTCGTACTTCTTCCAAAATGGAATGTACTCTTCTTCGCGAGCTCTTTGTTTAACCGAGGAATAGCTCCTTGGCAAAAGCCATCGGTTCGCTAGCGAGGACGCACGTGCGCGCAGTCGTTCAGAAATTATATCGACACCGACGTTTTCCGGCTTTGCAAATACAGACGGATGTGTCTTTTCAGGTGTACGCGTGTACAAACGGCGTGTACATATGTGCGTGCGATCTCGTCTCGTCTCGTCTCGTCTCGTCTCGTCTCGTTCATTCACACCTTTTTCACAAGGCGTATCTCCTCATCGAGTACGTTGTACGATTGAAACGTTCACACGCGTTTAAGAAGAGCTACGATCCCTCGTAACGTCCCTTTCGATGACGACTTATATACTTCGCTTTTCGATTGCGATGCGATGCTCTTACGTTCTGATGATCCCCGTGAAAAAAGTCAAGAAACGAAGACGTTACGCGCGCTGATTGTCCGTTTCTCATTTCTTTTTTTTTTTTTTTTTCTTTTCCATTCTTATCAAAGTTTCGTCGTATCGTATCGTCGCATCGTTCGACGAAAGATCTCTTGCTTCTTTGTTCAATGTCTCGCAAATGAATTTCCCGGAAGGGAATTTCGAGATCGATCGATGAAAGGAGGAACTATAACGAGAAGTATCTCATGGCTCGCGCCCCATAAACGATAGGACGCCGCTACGAACTCTCCTACGGCGGATTACGATAACGCGTTATCGGAAACGCGTAGGGTGATAGAAACAATGGGTGCTTGATTAATTACTTGGAAAGTACTAGAAAGGCAGAAGTGATGGATGTTGTTCTCCGACAAGAGAGAGAGAGAGAGAGAGAGAACGACGCAGCCGGTACATACGTGCGCCAAAGTATCCGTCTTCTTCTCCATCAGTGCAATAAACGCGATTGTTCTTTCTGCTCTCTAACACTTTCAACGAGTCACGCTCGATAATTTTTACGTATGACGCATTAAACATTGTCTACGTTCTCTCTCTCTCTCTCTCCCTCAACTACGCCGTTGAAAACTCAAAGATTACGAAAGATGACTAAAAAGATATTCTAAGAAAGGTTAGTCTTTGTATTTTTCTTTCTTTTCAAAAGACTCTTGAAACGCGTTCTTCGTTTTCTTTCCTGAAAAATAAGACGGAGAAAGTTAGGGATTACGATAGGACCGTTGCTCCCTCTACTGTCTTTTGTTCGTTCGTAGTCATTGATTTTGGAGAATTCCAATAAGTAAGACGGATCAGCTCGACGGCCGAAGACGCAATAGATACCAGATCTCTCGTCGTATAATCTACGATCGCGATTTAACATACAATGAAACGAATTGGATAAGAACGCGCGAGCCTTTCCATAATCTATTTCTCTTTATCGATCGCACGCGTGCAGGTGGCAATCCTGAGAGGGAATTCAATCAATGAACGAAACTCGAGTCTCTCCCTCCCTTTCGGAATTGGACTCTGCGATTATCTTTCATAAACTTGAAACGCGAGAGTATCCTCGAATGGGTTCATCATCGTCCTTCTTATCGTACGCTGGATCCTACTAATGACGACGTGAGAGATAAAGATCCGTGCTTTATGACTTTATATACGAGAGAAACGTTAGAAACGAGTTGAATTTTCACTGGTATGCAAAGTTTACCCACGACGACGACGACGACGACGACGACGACGACGACGACGACGACGACTGTTTTGAGCGCACCGACGCGACCGTACTTTCTTTACCTTCTTCTTCCCTTTTTATCCCCAGGCACACAATTTCAACGACTGCAACCGCATTTTTATTATTAACGCCGCGGAAGGTAGACGAGAAGAGTCCGAGTTTGCGTATAAAAAAAGGGGAAAAAAGTGGAAAAACGGGAGGAAAAGTGGAGGAAAGGAGAGAAAAAAATGTCACTGTGATTCTTTATTGTCTTCGTTATTTATCTTCATAACCGAGCGTAGTTCGTTTATGAGCGACATAAACGCGGTACGCTCTCGAGACCGAGCGTACGCGTTCAATTTCACTTTGAAAGGGAGAGATAGATGGACCGTTGTTGCTCGCTCACATTGACGATTGAGATAAGGAGAAAGGAAAGAAAAAAAAAGAATGGAAGAGAAAAAAGAATAGAAATTTTATATTCTTTTATGTCGATCCGGATGCACTTGTACGTACATCCATAAATATGCATACATATATATATATTTATATAAGCATTATAGGTTACTTTAAGTTGCAAAGCGTGTTACTCGTTGAGTGTCGTGCTACTATGCGCGTTAGTATACGCGTTTATATTGTAATATCGCACGTGAATAAACATTGACAAGAGGAGGAGGTCGGTCGACCCGCGAAGAAATGAAAATATTCCGTAAATACTCGGCTCCCTGCAGACAATTAACGCGATTACGGCAAACAGGCTTTTTTTGTAGCGATCGCTCTGCCATATTTTATCGTGCAACATTCGTTCTCTTTCGTTCCGAGAGAATACGGAAATGCAAAAAAGACTTTTGAAAATTGAAAAAAATCGTGACGTCGCTATGTGTAATTAACGTAATCGTAGGACTTTGAGCGGCATTAATAAATCATTAAGTTTCTACCTGGTAATGCAAATTTGACGAAGACTTTTGCATCGTTCGGATACTCTCTCTCTTTCCCCTGCCCTCCTCCCCCCCCCCCCTCCCCACTCTGCCCTCCCCGCTATTCTCGTGGGAGCTATAATGCATTAATTATCTCTCGTGAAAAAGCATCAATTCCTTCCCGTCTACGCGAAATAAACGCCGGTAAATAAAGCGGTCTCGAATCAATGTGTTATATCCTTATTGTATTTTTATTGAAATCAGTTACATAAGTCGCGCTTTCATTTAAATGAACGATTACGCGCAAACGAATGACGCGTGGGGAAAGCAAACAAGTAGTTAATGCGACGCGATAGCGAGTTCTTTGATTAATTTCACCTTGGCCATTGGCAAATACGAAGAGAGCTAGTCATATTGAAAGACACTATGGTCAAATTTTCTCCGTTTATTCGAACTATCCAAAGCGTTTGTGCGTATCTGTCTGTCCGTGTCTATATTATTAGCAAGTCATTGAGAATTTACTAAGGTAATTTTTTTCAGGTAAGAATATCGTAAATAAACATTTACCTGTTACATTGTAAACTCGATATAAATAATACGATAGAAACGATCGTACTTACCTAGCAGACCATTTAGAGTGACCATTTGTAGACCCAAAAATATTTTTCTCTTTATGGTCTTCCAAGTGAGCTCTTCTTTTATCTTTCATCCTTTCTTTCGTTTTACTCGAGACGTCATTTCAATAACAAGTCTGGCCTTTCCCAAAAGTATTCGTTCTCCTTTGATTTATGAGTCTCGTCGAAAAGACGCGCAAAAGCATTTACGAGCCGGTTCCAAAATATTCTTCGTCGCGTTTTATTTTGAGAACTCTACGACGCTTTTGGTATACTTAGAATGGCACTTTTAGAAACGAAATTTCGCTATTAATAGCTCTCGCGATCGTTGAATCTATTCGATACGAAGGGAAAAGAGATCGCAACAGACGACGAGCACTTCTTTATTACTTATATTTTTATTCAAATAGATCGCGTTTTTTATTGTATATATCGTATACGTGGTATGCGTTAAAGTTTGTCCCAATAAAATCATCGGAGAAGATGTTGATTCTATAAAGCGTAATTAGATCAGTTTGCAATTATTGCTTCCAAAAGTGATATTTTCAAAGGGTAACTCGAAAGGAGCGCAACTGAAATGTGCGATAAAATGATTCCTTGAAGGAGCACCCCCGCGAAGAACCATAAAGGAGCCCGCTTCGCATTACCGTAAATTGTCGTCCACGATAATGATGTGCTGTGATTTTTTTTTAGCAAATATTTTTCTTCGATATAAATTACGACATATTTGCTCATTTTGCGGCCTGCCGTCCTATAAATATTTTTAAACAGGTGCATAAATGTTTGCAGAAGCAACAACTCGAGAGACGTTACGGTTCGCCTCGTTTTTCGCGTCGAACTGAAAAAAAGAAAGAGAGCGTGTCCGTGAAATCACACATTCTGAAGGGTTGTGTGAGTGTGTGTGGGTGTGTGTATACAGAGAGAGAGAGAGAGAGAGCGAGAGAGAGAGAGAGAGAGAGAGAGAGAGAGAGATGGAAAATAATCGTCGTACGTAAAAATTCTTAGATTTTGATTCTTTACAGCTTGAGTCGGTCGGGCAGGTGCGATCGCGGAAGACGGATGATCGGTCGATCGCCATTTCGCTTAATCGATCGTTCACACATGGATTTCGAAATTTATTGTTGCCAACCGATTTACTAACGCATAAAGCAGTCGACGCTTTTACACGCGAATAAGAAAACAGCTCGAATATACGCGCGAGAGAGAGGAGAAAAAATATTTTCATTTTACAGACAACAGTCTCCGGTGGTGCGAAGCGATCGAAATATTTGTTCGTAGACTTTGAAATAAATCAAATGAGATATTCAAAAGCAATATTTTGAAGCGACGACAGGGAGACGTGGAGAAAGAGAGAGGGTCTCAAAATAGGTCAACCATTCGGCGTTATCCGGTGACCTCTCCTCTATCGATCGACAACGTATACCTGTTTACGACAACAACTCTCTTCTCGACCTTGCTTCGAACTCGTCTTCTACATTCTCTCGTGTTCCTTCCGAAAACACGAACGCGACTATAGACAACGGAGAGAATTGGATGATGATAAGGGGCGGGGGAGGGGGGCCGGGGCGAGAGAGTGGTCGTAAAACCCGAGAGTCGAAAGTTCCAACCGTTTCGAGTAGATCCTAAAAGGTAAAGGAAAATTACACGTTCCTTTGTCCGGACGATAGACAATAGTCTATCGTAGGCTGCTTTCCGTATTCAAAGACACAACCACCGTAACTTTCCGAGTGCAGAAGATGTGGGTTTTCATCGAGTTACCGATCGAGCAGTTCCAACGACGAATACAAATCGGGCAAAGACTCTCTACGCTCATCTGTCCCCACCCCCACCCACTCCTCCTCCTCCCCACCCCGCTGGACAAAAGAAGAGACCTCCAGGGAGGTAACATAAAAGAGGGGGAGGGCTAGATCCCGTTAGGAGGAAATCGCCCAAGTATAGCCTGGACGCATCCATCAAAAGACGTCCTTTCGTTTCCTGCTTTCGTTTTTTTCCTTTGCCCGTTTTGCTGACCACTCAGCGAGCTTTTCCTTTCCGATTTCGATATTTACGATTGATCGATGAAACGCTAATACGTCCCCCGGCACATCGACGTACGTTCCTCCTATTCAAGTTAGATAGAAGCAAGCGCGTATTACATACACGGACGATATAATGGCACGTGCCAAATGCTTTTTCACCTATCTCCGATCGCCGCTCTCTTATCATCGACGTGTACGAGCTTTCCTGCCTGAGCCGATATACATCGCCCCTTAAGTGGATACACTTCATTTTCGTGCTTCGCCGTAATACGAATCAGGAAATGAAAAAATGGATTTGTATCTTCGTACGCGACTCCTATTCATGGCAGGAGAAACGAGCATCGACCTTTGCACCTTTCTATATTTGTTTCAACGAGGCGAATCAGGGCCTGCCAAATTTTCCTTGGCAGAGGAGGGAGAGAGAGAAAACGAATCACCGAGGTGTCGTCATCGAGCTCGAAGAAATCGAAACGAGTCGAGAGGAGTCGACGATGTTACAAACGTTCTGCTGCCAGTTACGTTTCGCCGTCTCTCGGATCCTTTCTTTCTCCTTTCCGTTTGTCTCCATTTCAATCCGTTTTCTTCGATTTGCCATTTCGTTTTCGTGTCTCTCGCGCCTGAATTGGCACAATGTGGGTCAGGAGTTTCCGATCTCGCAAAGATTTTCCAAAACGACGCGACCGAGCAACCTATAAATAGAATTTTAATGACGAGCTTAATTTATGGTTCTCGTTCCGCTTCGAAGTGTAGTTTTGTTACAGAACGAAATTAAGTCCGGCGACCCGAAGAAATGTGTTTAGAATGTTGTGCGTCTATTGGATAACGGTAAATCGAGCTCGCCCAGCTTCTCCGAATGTTCTCTCTCTCTCTCTCTCTCTTTCTTTCTGTGTTCGCGTAGAGTCGCAAAAGTTCTCTACGAAGCGTATCGGCGTGACCTCGTTCCGCATTGTCCCAAATTGATCATTTCCATTTCAAGACGAAGCATCGAACGTCGTTAAAAATTTTTCCATTGAAAAAGATCAACTAGCGATTTGATAGGACTGACGAAACACAATCGTTGAATATAATGAAAGAAAGAGGGAGAGTGAGGGAAGGGGAGATGGAATACGAAGGAAAAGGGACTTTCGGTTATAATTAGTAACGATTCTATAAAAGATGCTCTAGACTTATACCGTCAAACGCTTCGTATCGTTACGTTTTGTTTTGTGTTTTCGAGAGAGAGGATTGACGCCAGTCACAAGCCACAGCCGCTGTCGGACGACACTTTCTGTACACGTGCACGGCAACGGCTTATCGAGCGTTCGTGCCGAACGAAGTTCGGCCCTATCATCGGGGATTAATTAAGAAGCGAGGACGCGATTAGCCGTCGATCGAGTCGGTACGACGGGCGCCGGCACCTCCATCAGCACTCACTCACTCACTCACTCACTCACTCACTCACACACACGCACGTACGCATGCACGTATACTCCTCGTATATGTATGTACGGACGGCTAAGAGAGAGACGAAGCAACAGCAGCCCAGCAGCACGTGCACATACACCGAGTAAAAAAGTGTGTGTGAGAAAGAGAGAGAGAGAGAGAGAGAGAGAGAGAGAGAGAGAGAGGGAGAGAAGGAGGGGAGAGAGCACTACGATCGCCATTTATCGTCCGCCGCGGAATCGTCGAGGAGAGAGCGTGAATGAGTTCGAAGATCGACTGCCCACGAATGATTCACGCTGCCTACGCGATTTACTACATTACAGTAAGTGTCCTACAGTCGTAAACAAGCCGATAAACGGTATAAATAGGGTTTTGTTTATTACCGAGTAAGTCGCATTATCGGTTAGTCAAACATCGCTTTCGCGCTTTTCTCTCTTCTTCTTTATCGAACATTGCTCGTGCATATTTCGACATACTTCTTTTCCTTGTTGTTTTTCTTTTATTCGCACGTAGGACGCGCTTATTTGTACAGGACGCGCTTTGTAAAGTACGTCGTTATCGGACGAATTTTTGACTAATTATTCGCAGCGAATCTCTCTTATAAAATCGGTATTAGCCTTCGCAAGTAACGTCCCACGATAAGATCGTTGTTTTCGTTCTCGAGTAATCGATAAGAGCCTATGCAGCTTTCGACTTGTCGCGTTTGTATTAACGTGAGAATCAAACGCAAAGAAAGAACTTACCTAGGATCATTGAGATTCTACGAGGTGGTCGATAAAGAAAGAATTCGATCGCGATACTGGATGTATGTCGAACTTTTGAGGCGACACATGTAGGCGAGACCGCTGCCGTAATGATTCGTATAAAAATTCTATTTTATACGATCCTATCGAATGCATTGCGCATCCCCATGCATTTGTTAATTGACCGACCGGTCACATTTATTTCCGGTTCGTCACGAGCGCGTTTTTCTGGTCTCGACGAACCTGGTTCAACGCCAGTAGGCGAGGTAGTCGCGAGGTTATCGTTGCTACGGCTCACGTCTGTCATTGTGTTACTCGAGTCGACTTAGCATTGTTCTCGGCGATCGATGAATCGTCACGTGAATACTAGAGAGGCGCGCTATAGCACCTCTGACGTGCTCGATTTGCTCTGAATAAATATTCGGAGAAACGATTGCGTCGGTTCGTGGCGAAAGAAAATCTACTCTAGCGCGCGTTATACGATGGAGAAGGAAAAGTTACCTTCTGACTTTATCGCTGAGCTGTTTAGAACGCGACGATAACGATAGGGACGCGCCAGAGAGTTCCTTTGGAGAAACCTTACGTTGGGATTTTCGAAACGAAAAATTTTCGGTCTAAACGTTTTTCCACGTACTTGCGTTTTTCCATATCGACCGTGCGAAGAACCGCCGATAAAGTCCTAAGATTCGAGGAAGAAGTAAACAACGCCATTTTTCCTCTTTCTCTCGTTCGTTGGACTTTGGTATTTCTAGTAAAGTCTAGTAAAGCGAATCGATCACGCTGGAAAACAAGATACACGTATCGTCGGAAGCAACGAAACAACAAACATTAGGCAGTTATCGCGTTGTAACCCGATATTCTTGGACTTTTTGAAAATTGATCGTCCACGTCGATGTGTAAGTTTCGAAAAGCCGAACGCGTCGCGTCGGAATTGCGTCTACGCACGCGCACGCGCACGCGGGAACAGAACGCATGACTTTTCAAAAGTTTGAACCGCATAGTTTGGCGCGATATTATGTTGAAATAACTACAGTCGAAGCGATCAACGGTCATTACTTTTTATCGCGATAACGAAAAATTCCAAGTCAAGTGTGTGCGAAACGAATGAGAACTCTCGAAGGAACAAACAAACAAACAAACGATCAACATTAACGATCTTACGGTCGCGCGTCATTATCTAATAGTCGTGTCTTATCGTGTGTGTATGTATATGTACAATCAAGGTTCATTTGAAAGAGCTTCCATATTAACGAGTAAAATTAAAGCGCGTCGAATGATATTGTTTTCTTTCAAACTCTCCATCTCGGTTAAGAAAATAAAATCGCTTTGTTTCGATAATTAGTTGATCATACGAAAGGTAAAGAAAACAAAAGAAAAGAAAAGAAAAGAAAAGAAAAGAAAAGAAAAGAAAAAAAACACAAAAAAAAAGCAAAACTCTTTATCGCCAAAAGTTTCCGATAGCGTGCGATCTATTATGAAACTTCATCGTGCCGCTTCGTTATCGTACGCGATATTTGTTTTTCGATCTCAAGATAGGAGAACGTGCACGATGAAGTTAGGTTACTTTCGCGAGAATTAGAAACGCGATGCAATCTTTATCGTGACTCTCGATATCTGCCTTCGTGGAGGTTCGTAGAAAAAAGAAAGATTAGCGTTGTTAGATTAAAAGTCAAGTTCAAAGATAGCGGTTTGTTCCTCGGTGTATCGACGGTCTAAGTTCAACGATCGATCGCCTTTCTTTGAATTTTTTTTCGAAAAGCAATATTTTTTGAAAAGGAAAAAGATCGTCGTAAAGGAAACATAAAGGAGCAAGACGAAGGAAAGGAAGAAAAAGAAAAGTTGGCGGAATAGCAATTGGATGCAACGCTCGAGGAATCCGAGAACCGACCGGATGCAACGCCAGAATGGGAATGCGAGGCAACGCGCGCGCCGCAAGAGTCCGTTACTCGTATCGGGTATTTCCGAGAACACGACTATAAACAAACAAACACACGGAGAGCGAGCGCGAGAAGGACGGAGACCGAGAGAGAGAGAGAGAGAGAGAGAGAGAGAGAGAGAGAAAAAGAGAAAAGATAGAGGAAAGGGAGGTACGCAGAGTGCGCGCGCGTTCATTCGCGCGTGCCCTACCTTCCAAGGCGAGAGAGCGCACTCTGTGAGCCCGAAGATGGTAGGGGCGACAGGGAGTGGGGACAGTGGCGCCGTCGCTTCGAGTATCCCCGCCGGGGCGCCAACGCATGCGCGCCAACCGAAATTCCCCTCCTCCTTACCGCAACTAACCGTATGGACTTTTTCCCCTCGAACGGTCAAATTCGAACGCGAACTCGTCGCCGCGCCAATAAACAATTCCGAATGTTTATTCGTCCTCGTGATAGTAAGCCGATGTCAACGGGCGCGTATCGTGTCGTTATTCTTCCTTTTCCTTTTTCTTCCATTCCCGATTCTATTTTTCTTGCCCTTTTTTTCTTACGTTCGACTTAAAAAAAGTCTCCTAAAGAGACTTTTCTTTCTTTACGTCGTTAGCATCAACTAAGAGAAGGAGAAGGAAAGAGAAGACTCGAGGCATAGTCCGTGCTTTCATTGTAATTTTCGCATTTGACCACAGTGGTAAGAGCGTGCTTTACGATCTACGACTAAGATTACCGACACTACGACGACAACGATGACGTAGGTGGGGCGGTGGGGGGAATTACGGAGCGAGGAAGAGAGAGAAAAGCAGCTTCTCGAGCGCGCGCGCGCACCCCACTCGAAGCTCCCGGATGCGGGCTCGAGCAAGGCTCGAAGAGAGGGGATAGAACGCTTGAGGAAGAGGTCGTACTCGGTGGTGGGGAGGCTTGCCGCCAAGAGAGCTACTCGTGGTGGGGAGAAAGCGCGGGTTAGCAGCCCGGACCCGCCAAGCGTAGAATTCAGTAAGCGAACGGCTCTCTATGGCCGCGAACGTGTTTTTCGTTCTTCGGTTCCCGCGCATGCACATATACGCGTATATCGTTCCCGAGAGACACACTTATCCGAAGGAAACATAATATATATATATATATATATATATATATATATACATATATATCTATCGGGACTTTTGTTTGGAAATCCGCTAAACATTGACGACCATTACCATCGACTTCGTCCACATCATCGTCATCATCATTGCCATTATTATTATCGGTTCTTCTAATTCCTGTCATCGCAAAAAAAGAGAAAAGTTTCTAACGTAAGACGGAAAAACGCAACACGTAACAGTAACCACAACTACTACTACTGCTACTACTACCATACTACTACTACTATTACTACCACTATTACTACTACTATTACTACTAAATCGATCCATCCTCCAACCGACGAGACACAACACCACCTATAACAACAACAACAACAACAACAACAACAACAACAATAACAACGACGACGACGACGACGACGACGACTCATCCGTCATTCCTCTTTTTTTTCTTCTTTTCCCGCAACCTCGAAGGTTTATCATCGGAGCAGCGATCAAAAGCAAATATACATCTTTGGTTTTTCCTCGAATCATTTCGGTTTTCGATTTTTCTTATCTTCGTTTCCGCGCAACTGTGGCTTTAATCATTCAAACTGGATTCCAACAAGCAGTACGTGTCGCGATTACATCGCGGCTACCGGAGGCTTAAGAAGTTATTCAAGGTAAGATTTTCGCAAAGAGACATCGTAGAAGATAGAATATTCCAAGCGATTTGTGCGGAAAAGTGTGTTTCCTCCCAAGTGCTCATACTAACTTTCTCTTCGCGAAAAAGTTACATATTTGTTTTTCTTTGACGGGGGAAGACCGGAGCGTTGATGGGGGAAAAAGTAAAAAATGTTAAAAAAGATATGAGACGAGCTTGAAAACGTAAAGAAGGCTTTTTCGTTGCTCGAAATTATTTCTAAATAAGACGCTCGTGTCGCGTTAGACGATCGGGAAGAGAGCGAGCATCCCTTGCGGTGTATTCGAGGCGAATAGCGAACGATACCTCGCTTACGAAGAAGATGAAAGAGTCGAGGTTAACATACTGCCTCGCGGCATGAATAATTTACGCTCGGTCGAATTTAAATAAATTCGCCTGAAGCCGAGTTCGCGCGAGTGCGGTACGTAATCTCTCTCTCTCTCTCTCTCTCTCTCTCTCTCTCTCTCTCTCTCTCTCTCTTTCTCTCTGCGAACGACTCGCCTCGAAAGTTGTTTACAGAGGCCTTCGGAGTCGATTTTTTAAACAGGTTCGCGACGGAACGCGGAATTTTCGATAGGAAGACCAGTTGCCAGGTGATTTTTTATTCGGTCTAGATTCCTTTTTCGTGTATCACGCGCGTTCTTTCCTATTTATATTTATATATATATATATATATATATGTATATGTATATGTATATATATGTTTGTGGGTATGTAAATACATGTGTACGTATATACGCTCGCGCAGAATGAATCGCAAAAGAAACGTCGTCGGATTTCTCGTAATTACATTGGCGAATTAAAGAAAAGAGCGAGAAACTAAGTCTTCGAGGTTGAGAGAATTCGATGAGAACGGTGTCACCACCGATAGGCTCGTCTGAACTTCGAACCCCTCCAACGGATAATCAAGATTCTTCCTCCGAGTGTTTATTCTCAAGCGGACGAAAAAAACATGTTTTCGTCGAGCTCACTTATTTGTCAAGAGTCTCTAGCTCTTTGATAAAGTTAGAAAATAGATATTTTCAATAGTAGTTTGTACGGTCGTTTGACAACAAACCGCCTACGCTCTCCCCACCTCTTGTGCTAAAGCGTTAAAGAAACAATGTCTTGATACGTAAAGGAAGGTTAACGTAGTCGAGTGAAATTTGAAAAAGACGACGACATTACCGTACTACTACTACTACTACTACTACTACTACTACAGCCAGCGTACGCATACTACGCACCCATTATATCCAACAATAAGTTCGAGGAAGAAGCACTCTAAGCTAGTCTAAATCGTGCCTCATCATTGACCCCGGCTACTTCTCTTTTCCGAAGCACTGCGTCTCGATCGATAACGCTTAAAGCGCGAGAAGAAGGAAAAGCTACTACCCTCTTTACCCTCTCCCTTTTCTTTCCCGCCCTCCTTTCTTCCCTTTCCATTTTCTTTTCTACGCGGCGTTTTCTCCCCTTATTTTTCTTATATTTTTTACGTTATTTACATATTTTAAGTTTATATCTGCTCGTATTTTGTTCTTTTTTACTGACTTGAGAAGTTGTGCATGGCCTAGTGCAATAAAATTCTCTCTCTCTCTCTCTCTCTGTCTCTCGCTTTTGGAGCAAGGGATCGCCGCGTGTTCTAATTTAGGTTGTGCTCGCGACACGTTTCTCAGCGTCTGCGAATGCAAAACATTTCATTCACGGACAAAAGTGTCGGCCGCCGCGCCGCCGCCGCCGCCACCACCGCCGCCGCCGCCGATAGGCGTAGTCCCTTCTGTGTTCTCGGGAAAAACGGCACGAAAGTGGGGATGCCGGAGATCGGCCTCCTTCCTCTTCTCTCTCTCTCTCTCTCTCTCTCTCTCTCTCTCATCCGTCCGTCCATCCGTCGTGGCTGCCACCGCCACTGCCGTCTGTCGCCGCTCGCGCAAAGGGAGAACGACGAGCAGGGAGAAAGGTGGTGGACCGTGTTGTCCAGTGGTTCTTCGCGTCGTCTTCATCCCTTCAAGAAGGACTCTCACTTGGATTGCATTTTCTATTTCACATCGCCGTTCGAAGAAAATAAAGTAATTAATAAACATTGCAATTCGACTTTTGAATATTTCAATAATCGTATGGCGTAGAAATGATTAGACGTTTATTTCATATAAACGGCTGCAACGAATAAAATTAAGAACCACTGAGATGGTTGGTACTGCGTGCCGCTGTGAGAGTGCAGCACCGTTTGCGGCACGAAAAAACGCAACCGCCATGTAAGCGGGAAGAGAGAGGGAAGAAATGAGCGAACGAGCGAGAGAGAGAGGTCGGAAAGTTATAAAGGACGGAAAAAAGGCGCGCGTGCGAGAAGGAGAGAAACGAGCAAAGCTAAAATTAGAATGTCCGTTGGAATGCCACTCGTTCTCTCTCGTGTGTAAATGCGTACGCGTGCGTACGTGTGTGCTCGCTCCTCTCTTTTCTACGTGCTATACGTGCGACTATGCTGTCGCATATATCCTATAGAAAGAGAGTCACTGCAAAGCAGACTCAAAAGCATTGAAAAGAAAAGAAAAGATTCCGTCTTTCGGAAAATTCCTGGGCTCCTTCGTCGTTCTTCTTTCTGCTCCGAAACAATTTTTATCGTTCTCGTGCGTTTTTTTTTTTTTTTTTTTTTTTTTCTTTTTTTTTCCCCGAAGAGGATGAGGAAAAGTGGGGGAAAAAGAAGGGGCCGATGTATCTCCTCGTGTACTAGATCAAAACGCGTTTCAGGGATTGGATTTGCAACCAGGAAGAAACGCGGTCACCGTTTCCACTGTGCGCGGTGTCTCACAAATCCACTTTTCCGACGAGGGCTTTTCTCGTGAAAGGGACTGGCCTGCTCTCGTTTCTCTTTCCTTGGAAAATGGGGCAACTTGCTCCGATATCGCACGCGCATACTCGGTTTTCACTATGGAACGTTTCCATAAGCCCTGCTATTGGGAAATTCGTCGAGCGTTATAGACGAAATGGTTTCGAGTTGTGATTCGAAGCGTAGATAAGAGTATAAAGGAGAGATAAGTAAGGGGGAACTAGAGAAAAAACTAGAGAAAGAGAGAGAGAGAGAGAGAGGTAACTCGAGCGTTACTCCTCGGAACGTCATCGCGTAGGGCCGACAAGGCTTCTCTCGAGCTAACGCTCTCGAGAAGGTCGACGGCCTGATACGGATGGTTGACGACGCTGTGGGGCCCGCCTCGTAACCGGCCTGGGAAGAACGTGAACGTCCTCTCTCTCTCTCTCACTCCCTTTCCCCCTTTTCCTTCCGTCCCTGTGCCAACATCCAAATCGCCTGTCTTCTCTTTCAAGTCCTCAAGAAAGATTATTATTGTATCTTTCAGGTAGAATATCTCGTGCATAGACCTACAAAGATGCGAGCTAAGCGAAGCGTGGGTGACGTATCACGAAATTGAACCGTTGCACGTCTTTTATCTCTTCCATTATCTCTCGACGGAGTCGATATACGATGATCTGGTACCTGTGCTTTTCCTCGAGCACTTTTACCTCTCCGTATCATCTTATTTATCGTCTTCTCGTATTTCGGCGGAAGTGCGTTGCTTCTGAAGTACGTCTTTCGGGACAGGAAATGATAAGATTAAGGGTCGATGGTCCGAACGCGGTAAAAACGAGTAGCGGAAATGCGTAAGACGTCTCCTTCGCTTTTCGATCGAGGATCGTTCGCGTAGCGTGGGAGGATAAAGCTCTATGTCTGTCTCTCTCTTTCCCTCGACGCGTGGGGCCACGTGCCGCGTTGGTAGTGCGGTGACGTCAGACGACGACTTCCGCTCCGCGATTTCCCGATGCTACCGGATGAGAGGAGTTAAGAGTACCGGATACCAAACTCTCCGTAGGCTCTCCTCCTCGCGTTTCGCTAACTAACGCTAGGCTACACCTTATTCGAGCTCGTATCCTCGACCAAAGTTTCTCTAAAGTTCCTCCGAAGAAAAGTTTTTCTTTTTTTTTGTTTCAGCGTGTGGCGAATCAGGCGCTTACCGTTTCGCCACAGCCGGCAGTAACGGTGGAGGGGCCGGTATCCAAAATGTCTCCACCGACGAACGACGTGACCAACGGTGTAGTGGCGCCAGCAGCCACCTTGGCGCCTCGAGTTCCTACGAACCCTTCGCTTACCACCGTAAATCCGCTCACGCACAAGCGCACTCCGAAGGATTTTATTTTTGTCAAGGTGATCGGCGAGGGAAGCTTCTCCACCGTAAGTTCTTTTCTCTTTTGGTCATCTTTCTCCCCGTTCTCTGCTATTAGGAATTCTCTCTCTCTCTCTCTCTCTCTCTCTCTCTCTCTCTCTCTCTCTCTCTCTCTCTCTTTCTAAGAAAGGCAGGTGTTGAACATCTAAATCTCTCCTTCAGGTTTACCTCGCCAAGGATATCCATACCAGCAAGGAGTACGCGATAAAAGTGTGCGAAAAGCGTCACGTCATCAAGGAGAAAAAGACCGAATACGTGAAACGCGAGAAGGAGGTGTTGAACATGCTCGCGACAGCGAAACACTCATTCGTGCGTTTGTTCTGCACCTTTCAAGACATAGAAAGACTCTATTTCGTTCTATCGTACGCGAAAAACGGCGAGCTCTTACCTTATATCAATAAGGTTGGCTCCTTTGACATCGAATGTACCAAGTTCTACTCGGCGGAGATCCTACGTGGTCTCGAGTACCTTCACGGTCTTGGCATCATTCATCGTGATCTCAAGCCGGAGAACATACTTTTGGACGAGAAAATGCATCTGCTAATTACCGATTTCGGCAGTGCTAAAATCCTAAAAGATCCGGAGACACCGCAAGTGATGGGATCTCCGGCGGATGACGCTCAACAACAACAACAACAACAACAACAGCAGCAGCAGCAGCAACAGCAGCAGCCGCAACAGCAACAGCAGAGTCGCAAGGAACGCAGAGGTTCCTTCGTCGGCACCGCGCAATACGTTTCACCGGAATTACTGACCGACAAAACGGCGAGCAGAGCGTCGGATCTTTGGGCGCTCGGCTGCATCGTCTACCAGATGGTCGCCGGTTTGCCACCGTTCCGTTCGCGGAGCGAATATTTGATATTCCAAAAGATCTTAAAGCTCGAGTACGAAATACCCGATGGCTTCTGCGAGTTGGCCAAGTCCCTCGTCAGTCGACTTCTCGTGCTTGAACCGAATGAAAGACTCGGCGCTCAGGACGAGCACGGCGCCGGTTATCCCAGTATTCGTGCTCATCCATTCTTCGAGGGTGTCGACTTTGAGACCCTCCACGAACAAACGCCACCGCCGATTTATCCCTATTTGCCCGGCACCTCGGAGCACGAGGAACTCAGGTCGCAGTACAGAGTTCCAGATCATCTCGAGCCCGGCCTCGACGACAAGCAACTAACGAGACTTCTCGGTCTTGGCATCGGCGAGGATGACGATGACGACGATGACGACGACGACGAAGACGAAGACGACGAACACGAGAACAACGCGGATAACAATGCCGAACCTCCTAGTGGTAACGAGCCGAGCGAACGAGTCATCGACAAACCCGCCCGACGTGCCACTGTACTTGCCGCCGCTGCCACCGTTGCCGAGAGACAACCGAGAAAGACTAGGACCTCCGGCACCGAAAGTAACATCGCCGATCTCACGCCCGAGGAGATCAGAAATCGATTGGAGAAGCAACGAACGTCCAGTCAATGGGACGTCTTCGTCGAGGGTAATCTCATCTTGAAGCAAGGCTTCGTCAACAAGAGAAAGGGCCTCTTCGCTAGACGGAGAATGCTCTTGCTCACGACCGGACCTCACCTATATTACGTTGACCCTGTCAATATGGTGCTCAAGGGTGAGATACCCTGGAGCCCCGAACTCAGGGTCGAGCCCAAGAACTTTAAGATTTTCTTTGTCCATACTGTAAGTTTCTATATCGAAACGAACTTAATGTCGTTTCATTTTTCTTCTCTCTAATCGAACCTCAATTTTTTTTCGCGTTACAGCCAAACAGGACGTATTATCTCGAAGATCCCGAGGGATTCGCATTAGAGTGGTGTAGAGCTATCGAGGAGATGCGAGTCCATTGTTACGGCCTGCAGGAATCTACCGCTTAAGAAGAAAGTTGTCCGAGAGCAATGACTACGACTCGATCGTCCGAGAAGATGACGATAGAGATTCGATGATTTCATCCTTTCGAATTTTCACATTATATAGGAAAGAATTTGTTATATGTGTGTGTGTGTGTGTGTGTATACATATATATATATACACACACACACACAGGAAGACATCGTAGGGACCGATAGATGTCGCTTCTACTTTAGAAAAGGTACTCTAGATCGTTTGGTCGTTTCCCCCTTGATTCTCGAGGGATCTTCTTAAAGTTAGATAAATTATCGTTGCAAGAGGCAGTGGCAAGCTGCTTCGAGACATTAAAGGTAGAGGGAATTGTTTAGGGACAAGTATTTGCAAAGCCGTATCGGTCGTTCATCGATGTAACGTGAATGTGACGCGGCGTCGTGCGAAGCTTTAGGAAAATTCTTTATAAAGTGTTTATAGTCGAAATTTCTAGTTACGGTTAGAAGAGAAGTGACTCGAGGAAAGGCCGAATGAGAATGTAAAATTAAGAGATGACGTTTATAGCGGATCGACGAAATAGAAAAGGTAAAATATTGGAAGGAATCTAGATACGGACCACCATCCCCTTTGCAGCTTTAATAATATCGCTTACTTTTGTTACGTCAGCCGAGAAACAATTGGTCGAACGTGCGTGCGACTCTTTCGTATTCGATCTTTTTATTTATTTATTTTTTTTTTCTTCTTTTTTTTTTCTTTTTCTTTTTTTTCTACTTTTTTCGTCTCCCTATGTACCTGTCTTGTAAATAGAAAAGAACCATTTCACTCGAAAAGCAAGGCAAAGTCTTTGCGAACCGAGGATGCATGTTTATGCATCCCCATTATATATATATATATTTAGAATTAATAATTAGCGTAATTTGTAAGTACAAAACAGTGTGTGTTCTCGTCGCGTCACCATCGATTCGCTTCTCCTCGGGTTTTTGCTCTCGTTCCATTTTTTCGTCGCGACCATTTTATCGGGCCTTTGCGGATTTTGAAGTAAAAGAGAAAAAAGATAATAGACAAAAGGAAAAGAACAACGTCAATTCGAAAACACATAGAACAAAAATCGTCTTGTACGTCGACGTAGAGCAGGATGGGTTTGCGTCGATAAAAGTTGGAGAGTGCACTGGTAAACGATGATTTTCTCCTACCGCGAAGAGGACACGAGAAAAATCGAATGCGATCCTATTTAGATTAAGTAGATAGTCTTATTTTTTCGCTTAGCTTTAAGAAAGAAATAGCTAACTGTAATATATTTAGAGAAAGCGCACCGAAATTCGCTCTTATTCGCGTGCGCGAGTATAACTTATTTTCATTCGCGTTAAGCCAATCATTATCATTATCTCATTATTCGCTATTATTATTATTATTATTATTATTATTATTATTATTATTATTATTATTATTATTATTATTATTATTATTATTATTATTATTATTACTATTATTATTATTATTATTATTATTATTATTATTATTATTATTATTATTATTATTATTACTATTGCTACTATTATTACTATTATTATTATTATTATTATTATTATATCGTCATCATTATTATCACTATAATTATATACCTTTTAATAACTCTAGGATGCATTATTAACGCTCTTGTTAACTACTACGTAGCTGTATGTATTATAATATCGCCGATATAAGTATTGTTTCCTCGTAGATTTAAAAACGCGTAATTTTTCGTTTATTTATTATAGAAGAAGCGTATTCGTCCTACGTTATTTATTTTTCTCTTAGTTCTTTTTTGTTTCTTTTTTGTTCCATCTTTTCTTTCATTCGGTTTTTCTTCTCTTCGTATTTTTCAAAATAAGATTTAAGAAGTCTGTATAGATGTTACGCATTAGTTGTATTACCGCTACCACCACTGCGACTATTACTACTATTAATGCTATTACCAATTATCATCGCTACTATAACACCGCGTTGAATATTGTATATAAATGTGTGTATATATCTTTATATATATATATTATTATTATATATATATATATATTCTCTCTAGTAATTGCGTATATGTACACACACATAGATAGTAGAAACAATACGCAAGCGTGTATAAACCCATTACAACGTCATTGTAAAGTTAGAAACTTTGTAAATATATTTCGCGACGATCGTCAAATAGGAATCGGGATGAATCGCCTCGTTTCTTTGGCTTAAAATCGTACGACCAAATTCCTTCTTACTGTATATTATATACTTGTACATTATCATTATCTATACGCATTGTATATATATATACGCACACACACGCATGTCATGTGTGTATATATATATAAATAATGTTATTATGAGCGATATTTATGAGAATGTGAATATATATAGTTAGTTAGATAATTTGTGTACAAAAGAAATTCTTAGTCTTAGGATACAAAAATTAGGATAGAATTCGTTGACGCCACTCGCCGGGACGAGAAAGGCTCGAAAATAAGGAATTTGATCGTACGTGCGTTTATTCAGTCTTTTTTCGTTGTTGAAAATTTCAATGTTACAATAGTGGGAGTGCGCGTAATGATTGACTTCCTCGTGAGCGCAGATTTAAACAGGGTATATAAAAATAGAGAGAACTGTGCGGAAAGTGAAAAGAACGGATGTAAGGTCGAATTTCGTGGAGCAGGGAGCCGTAGCTCGATGTGTTCGAAATAATGGCGGTTCTTCTTTTAGATCCGGCATTGTCCTCGCGCCCAGTGGCTCTTTCCAAAGTGACCGCTTTTGGTGGGCTACGTACGGTGCGAGCGGACCAAGAAAAACGGAAATTTCTTCGCACGAATTTCTTCCATCTTCGCGTTCTTTTTTTAATTTTCCGCCTTCTTCCCTCTTTCCTAGTTGCACGACTTTTTTCTTTCTCGCGAGGATGTTTTCATTTTTCCATTTATTTTTTATTTTTCTTTAAGTCTTTATCCTTTTGTGTGTGTGTGTGTGTGTGTGTGTGTGTGTGTGTGTGCGTGCGTGTGTGTGTGTGCGTGCGCGTTCGTTCCATTTTTACTTTATTATCGTGCTCTCTCACTCCTCTCTCTCTCTCTCCCCTCGATCGATCTCCATTCAATCGATCGATCAAAACGAGGTATTGTAGATATATATTAAACGTGAAAATTCAGACATTCGCGACACATACCAAAGCGCGATAATGCAGCTTTATTTCACACGCGTTCTTTACGCCAAGCCGCATCTTGTTTTTCTACGTTTTATGTAGACTTACTGCTGTAAAGTTGTAGTAGGCGTAAAGAAGAGCGTGTACGCGAGGAAAGAACGAGGTGGTTCGTTAGATTAATCGTACGTTAGGCGAAAAATGTTTGGTGGATCTTCGAAATCGCAACTCGGAGATCATGGTATTGAGATTCCTATGTGCTTCGAGCGGCGTCGTATTCAGTTTTTCTTTTGTATTATATAGTTCTAATTAAAGAAAATGTATTCGCGAATCGACGCGAAGCGATGCCAGCTCGAAGACGCCTCTCAGCGCGCGACGAGTTCAAAGGAAAATACAAAAATCCTAGTTAATTTAATTAATTTATGTATAATACGCACGTATTAGTGCGTATATAGGAAGGAGACGAATACTTAACAAAAAAAGAAACAAAATCAGTGGTATAAATTCGTGTTCACGGATCATTTTTACCGTGGGCCACGCAAGCAATAACAGGCAAGGCCTTGCGAACATTGAAATGCCTACTGTTTCGATGCGATAGAAACGCTTCAAACTATTCATTGCAGTATTACTAAATGTATACAGATTTTAAGATAACACACGATCGACACTTCACACCGGGCCCCAACATGCGTACTCGATCACATCTACACACACATACACACATCTTACATGCACTTCAAACACACACTCGTACACAGGATAAGGATAAAGACTGTAAATAGTTAGCACGTAATTGATATTATAGGCGACGAAACCTATTAACATCAAATTTATTTATAGTAAATTTTCCGAAACATATACTCGACTGCTTTCTTTATGAAAACCATCAAAAAATCCTCGATCCTAATTCTAATCATATATATATATACACGTATCATTATTCACTTTATTACAAACGAAATTAATGGCCAATTGACACACTTGTTCGTTTGATTTTATTCCTGCGAAAATCTTGTATTACATATTAAATAATTTTTCAAAGATAAAGGAAACATGAATTAAATTGAATTAAACTGGAAAAAAGTGAAATATAAGGAGCGGACAGTTGTGGAACGAATATTATACGAATATAATTTATCGTTCGCGGTCGATAATTTAATTTTTATAATTTTATTCCTTACTTTTTACTCTTACATTCAAAGCTGATAATCGATAATTATACATTATGGATTGGTTTTAAACGATTCTTTAGAACGCTGACCACTACTGAATCCTCGTAACGAAATTTAGTTAATGTTAATTGAAAATTATAGCTAGATAACACAGGAAATTCCATTGATATTCGATCGGGGAAATAACAGTCTTTCGTGTACAATAAAAAAAGAACATTCATTCCCGGTTTTCTGACAAATGCGATGAGAGTAGGTGTTTTTTCAAGTCACCCATATTTTTTGGCTTTACCGAACACTCGTGGCATTTTAATTCTTTATTTAAATATTTTTGTGCCACCGTAGGACTTATCTTTTTAAGTTCCCCGTTTTCTTTCAGTTGTTTACATAATTCTGTAAAGAAAATACGTTTAGCAAATTCGTTTAGCAAATTCGTTGAAGCGATAGCGATAGCTTCGATTTACCTTTCGAAGAAATAAAGAATGGCGTCGTGAAACTATTCCAATGATGCTTCGTTTTTAAACATGGACTATTAAAATCCGTACTAATCACATGTAAATGCATTCTTTGCATACTTGGCAAAGCATGATACCCGATACTGCAAATATAAAGAAATATTAGCTACTGGATATGATAGAGTTATGGAGTATAGTTATAGAATAATTTTTCATTTGACTTTTCTCATACAGGAACTTGTGTCCAGAATGTTTTTTAGTTAGTTCTTTCGCAACATCATCCATATGCCGTAGAAGATTCTCATGATTCTTTTGGATCTTCCAAACTGTAGAGATGTTTTCTTTCGGTAAAACTAAATAATGAAATCTTGCTTTTGGATATTTATCTTTGATAACAACTATGCTATCGTCCTCGATGACTTTAAGAGTTGGATCTTTCATAGAATCGAGTAAGCCTAACGACCAATGATTCTTTCTTGGTAAACTAGCTTTTAGGTCTTTGCTTAAATTCTTTTTACGATTCATTATTCCTTCCCTCGTTCTATCAATAAAAGTCGATTTATCATCCTATATACGTACGTTTATAATACGTTTGTTATGAAGCTGGAAAAAAGAGATAATATTTAACACGTTAATAGCGTGAGTAAAAGATATAGGTTAAGAAAAATATAATAAAATACGCAAGTTTTTCGTTTCGAAAAATTCAAACATAAAGTTACAAGCAAGGACATTAGATTTTTAGGTTATAATAGAAATGACGAAAAGAGAAAGCAATTTTCTTACCATCGTATGGCGAATAGAATCAAGATCGGTCTATGCACGCATATTTCAGCTAAGATAATCCATCTATTTGAAGAATCACATGGTTGATTTAACAATAATTTTTCAGATTCAAGCGAAATCTAACATATATGTACGTATACGAGAGAGGAACATACATATCTACGTATAATAGAGAAATGGTCAGAAATGGTGCGTGTCGAACTTTTCCTATGGATAATATAAAAGTGCGACGAGTTCAAAGATTTTCCTTTGATTCTTTAACGATTACAACGTAATCGAGAACAAAATGTTTTCTCTTCGTCGTGAAATTGATCAAAACGATACGTTAAATGAAAATAATTCTACGTACAGGTGTTTCGTCGATAGGTTAGGATTTTCTTGGTTAGAAAGAAATAATCGTTCGACTAATTTTATATTTATTTATTTACTCAAATGGAAGGCAATCGACAAATTTGCAACAAATAAAAATAAATAACACTCTCTCTAGCAATAATTACGTGATCGGTTACTTAAAAGTACGTTATTATAATAAATTCAAAGATACATAACAAAATCCGTATCTTTCTTTTTCGTATGCGCATAGAAAATATGTTTTCGCTCGATTGTATTCAGTTTTTCAATGCGACAGCAAAATTTATCATTCATGCAGCATCCTCTCGTTTACTCGTTCGATCTTTCTTTCGGTCTTTCTCTGTTTACCTTGCTTTTTCTCTCTCTCTCTCTCTCTCTCTCTCTCTTGCGCACACACACACACACACACGCGCTATACAACACGTTCTCTCATTCGCGCACTCCCTCATTTTACTTATCTCTATCCAAGCAAATTTCTGTACACAATCGTTCATACATTTATATTTTTTCGCTCACGCTTTTATTCTCTCTTTTGTCTACGTACAACACACGTACGACAAATACGAAGACATTCACGTACGCTTTAATGCGGACTACCAGATTCGCACAGCCTGACAAAATCAATCGATCATCGGATAGATTCATGATTAACGATTCGAAATTGAATTGAATTAATTATTTATACAGAATAAGGATCGACGCATTGAGAAAGGAAAAAAAGAAAGTAATGCTCGCCGCTTATTTATCAAGAGTCATCGTACGGTTGCTTCTTCTTCACTGTATTTTCCATCCCAACACGACAAGAATCATTCTCGCTCGTTCAGATAGGCCTTGTGAAGTAACGAATGATGATATAGCGCGACGATAGTGACGAGACGATTATGACGATTGCAATGATCGTTACACATAAGTAAATATACATATACGCGATGGCAAGGGAAATTTGGCACATTCAAATTTATATTATTCACCAATACCATGTTCCGTTTGCCTCGCAAGAAAAAAAGAATTTGGTCGTGTGGTAAATTTAAATGCAAAAAAATGTAATGTAAATTTCCTGATGTGACGCTATTGTCGGTAACATTTGCTACGAAAGAACAGAAGTATCAACCAAATGAAATCAGTTTGACGATTATTAGTTAAATGCACTGATTATATTATAGTTTAATGGCGTAATCGCCACTTCATCGATCTCAAAATCGCGCGGCGATTCGAAAAAAAAAGAAAAGAAAAAAAAATTAATGATAAAGCTTCTATGCACTTTTATTTTTCTTTCTTTTCTATTGGACTTTTTTCTCCTATCCAATGCTTTTGCTTTCATATTCAACGCAGATAACGCGGAACATGGCGATGGTTCGAGGATCTCTGAATTGGAGCGAATCATTGGAATGTTAGCTGTTCTCCGTTACACGGTGGCAACGACATTTACTAGTGCCAAGACGTATTTTTCTTAGTGAATACTTTTCGTCATTCGCTCTTTCTTTTCTTTCGAATTCCCACGTATGGACCATTACTCTTTCTTTCCCTTCTCTCGCTCATTCTCAGCGTATATTTATGTATACATGTACATATGTATATGCGCATAGACATAGATAATTTTTCGTATCGAGAATATAAGGGAAGAAAGATTAAAAGCAGCGATTTCCAATTTATTATCCGATCGATGTAAAATTTGGGGTTTTCAATAACTATTAGCACCGTTAATTTATTATACTTTGATAAGATTCAAACATTCTTTTCTCAACGTACACATTCACGCCTATCGACACTCACCCACACGTTTTTCTAGTATTACATTTTTTTCCTTTTCAAAAATCCATACGCATGCATAGCAGCATCCACTCTCTCTCTCTCTCTTTCTCTCTCTCTCTCTCTCTTCCTCTCACACTCTCATCTTCCTCTCCGCATTACCGAGGCGAGCGGCGCGATCCCGTTGTATCTTTACGTCGTCACCAGGAAGCTGCACTTGTCTCGGCGAGGCCAGTAGCAGTACGCTTTTAAGCTTTGAAAACAATTGAGAGTTATTCGACGTATTCGGTAAAAAAACGACCTAACTTGTTTGTATATCGTGAAAATAACTCCATCGACAGCGACGTTACTATCGACGAAATTATGTATAATGTCAGCCAAAGATGATTTTCTATTTGACGTACGCTATATGGTCTTATCAAGTACCTCCTATCGTGATAAGCAAGAAAGATGTCGGACTTTCTAAATCTAAGAGCTTGGAATGCGGTCTTGATCGTCCTCGTCGAAATGATAGAATCATAAAAACTGCAAGCAATTTACTTTATCCTCAAGTAAAGAGGGTACTCTTAGGACTCGTGATTGGAATAATGTTTATTATTTTTATACAATGAGAAGATGCATCTAATTTCCATAACTATTGTGATAAATTGAAACGATGCGAGAAAGCAAAGCGGGATTAAGAAATTGAATGAGATAGTAAACGTGATTAATAGCACAAGCAGAGATCATACGGTAATGTATTTGGAATCAGAAAACATCATTGATGCGACTAATGAACCTCTGGCTGCACCTATTCTCGGAGCTTACTCTATTTCCACAAAGATGTTTTTGATTTTTACGAAAACACCATTGATTTTCGTGAGCCAACCGAAGTTCCCAGAACGAGCTCAAGATTCGAGCTGGTACGAGAGGCCGGCAGCTTTGGGTTCGAAATCTCATTCTAGTTTGTCATGAGTGTTTAGAAACATGGAATGTCATAAAACAACAACAATCAAAGAGAAGAAGAAAATGAAAAAGGAAAAGCGAGAGAAAATATCATTTGGGAAAGAAGCTGAAGGAATCGCGCCAAGCCGCGACCTCGGTAACGGGACCATGCCCGTTGCTACTACAAAGCAATTCGTACTTTCCACATATAATATTACAGATTAAAGTATGTGTACCTTCTAACATCACATGCTCTGGCTTAGAAAATATCGCAATTGCGCCGCTAAAAGTCGACCGATTCGTGCGTTTTAAGAAACACGTTCGACTCTCAGAGACAGGGGCGCGCGTGTATATATATATATATATATACACATATATATATATATATATATATATATATATGTATGTATATAAGGTATTATAATTTACATATATAAGTATCTATCTAACGTATGTATACCTTTACAATTATTCATTTAATTATATTAAATTCTCGTAAATGTAATTATGCAGTTTTGTTACGATTGATTACAGTTTTTTGAGGGAGAAGGATAGGGAAAGAGTACAAACGAGAAGGACGTATAGGTAGTACTTCCCGTGTCTTCTGCATTTTTTTGCACACACGCTAATTTGCGATTATTAAAACTCAAGCAACACACGACCGTAGACTGGATAGAGTACGAACTACATATCTAAAAACGTCGTAAGAAGACTCTTTGGAGAATTTTGAAAATATTCGTCTCGTTGCTTCCGCTCGTATTTAGAGCCGATATCGTTTTGAAATCGTGAAATACCGCGTCCAATTAGCTAGAGAAACCAACTCGGTAAGGCGGTTCTTTTTAATTATTTTTATCGCGATAGGATTCGTGATATCGTATGGAAGAACAACGATTATGTGCGTTGACATATTTTTTTTTGCTTTTGTTTTTTCTGTTTGTTTCTTTTTAACGACGAAGACCGAGGAGTGTACACGCTGTAAGAAAAGATTCTCGATCGTCCACCTAAGATATGCTTCTCTCGACTTTCGATTCAGGATCGATTCACTTTAGAATCGTTCACTTATCGTTACGATCAGATATAAGTTCTTCGGCGCGAAGCATTCGAGCGTATCGACAAAGTCAGGCTCGTTGTTCGGCCACGATTCGTTCAGAACGAATACCGTGGTGACACCTACCACTCGGTACAATTTTTGCACGACATGTGCGTGCGTGTGCGCGCTCGCGCGCGTGTATGTGTGCGTGCGTGTGCGTGTGTGTGTGTGTGTGTGTGTGTGGGTGGGTGGGTGGGTGTGTGTATTCGCATTACACTCGTGTCCAGACGCGATGTACGTGGTGCCAAGATTAGTAGTCCATGCCTCTTGTTCGTTAACGTTTAAGTACACAAAGTTGAGTTTCGAGAATGAATCTCGGGCTAGGTTGCAAAATCTACTTTGTCCCACGTTAGAGAGAGTTCGGAGGACATCTTAAAGTCCGAATCTTCCATGTTAAAGAGATCGAAGGGATCCTGACTACTTGCCAGTAGCGGATCGTAAATATCCGTTGCCGAGGATAAGGATGTAACGTGTGGAACAACCGATTGTTGAATCGACATGGGCGTAGATGAGGGCGGCGACTGAGGCATCAAGGAATCCAACCAGTCAGGATCGTCCATGTCCATCGGCATGTCCGCTATATCCATAAGTTCGTTGGAAGATTCCATTTTAACTCCTAGGCCGCAGTCGAGTTGACCAAAGTCCATAGTACCCAATGTTTCCAGATCCAATCCCAGTTCCTATCAAGCAATATTTTAATTCAGATATAGCTTCGAAATATCAATGAATTAAATAACTTAGGACGCAACCTACTTTAAGATCCAAGTTTGCGTTATCCGATGATGTGACCTCTTGCGGTGGTTGTGGATCCGGCGAGGCCTCTTGCACCGATTGAGGACTCAGTAGCATAGCTGCGTCCAAATCATTATCCGAATTCAATAGGTGCGTTCCAAACGAAGATATATCTTCTTGTTGTTGTAATTGCTGCAACGAAGTAGGTAATTGAATGGAAAAGGTTGCCAATGGTAAAGGTGGAGGCGGTGGCGGTGCCGACGCCGAAGCCGCAGTCGAACTAGACGCCGATACCGATGTCGATGCCGATGTCGACGCCGACGGACTAGGACAACCGCTTTGTGAGACCTCCATGGCCATCGGGCTGATCGGACTGATAGGACTAGCAGCCGTGAATACTAAAGATTGAGTTGGACTGTCCGCTGGCGCGGTAAATACCAAATTCTGTTGGAGCTGACGATTCGGGGTGGTAGGCGTAGCCGGATCCTGTGCCGCGCTCGGTGGAAGTTCTCCGTTTTTAATGAGAATTTCCAATACATCGTCGACAACTTGACTCTTAATATGACTCTTTTGAACCGGTTCTATCTTGACCTAAACGTATAAGTAATTTTAGAGGATGCCAAATCGAAAGAAATGGCCAAATAAAATGGTAATTACTCGAAATTATACCGACCTTCAATAATTTGGCTGCCTCGTCGTATTGAGGCGGTGGTGGTTTACCATCCTCCGTGCTGCTCGCTTGCTGTTGCTGTTGTTGAGCTTGGGCTTGCGCGACTAAAGCACCGAGCAACGATCCGTTCAATTTGGCCGGTTTGGCTAGATTCAAAACTATCGCGGTAGGTATTTGAACGGTGGTACTATTCTTAGCTTGATTTTTCTTATTGTTAATTGCCGTGAGCGCTGCGGAATCTAGAATGGCAGTCGCATTGTTCGGTTGCGTCTGTAGAAAAGCAGCCAAACTGGCTTTCGCATTGAGATGCTGGAACGTCGCATGTTGTTGCTGCATTTGCTGCTGAGACTGTTGATGATTTTGCTGCTGCTGCTGTTGTTGTTGTTGTTGTTGTTGTTGCTGTTGCTGTTGTTGCTGTTGTTGCTGTTGTTGCTGCTGCAGGTGTTGCAACTGTTGCAGATGTAAAGCCAATTGTTGCTGTTGCATCTTGCTCTGTATATGCTGTTGCAACACCAGTTTCTCGGCTCGAACAGTTGCGGGCTGAGTTTGTCGAATTTGTTGAAGTTGTTGTTGGGATTTATACAACTCCCGTTGCAACTCTTCTATCCGTTTCCTTTGCTCTTTGATGATATCGTCTCCTGAAACACGAACTGCATCGTAAAAACACCCACGTGCGTCGTCTTTCGAAGCCAGAGTGATATCGCCCGAGAGTCGCGCCGAAGGCGCGCGAAGAAAAGAAATTATTGTTCCGCCGTTTGGACAAGGTAAAAGCGATACGAGAGATAATAACGAGAGGGATACCTGGTGGGCTCGACGGATCCTCGTGTTCGCTGCCATGAGGCGAATCGGTCCGCGGGCTATTCGGCTCGTCCTTGACAATCGAGCTAGGGCTCTTTGCTTGCGAACTAGATTCGTCGGACGTCATAGGACCGGGCGTGTCCATCAATATATGGCCCATGTGCGTAACGTGAGGTCCGTTAGAGTTAGAAGTCGAATTCCCGCTGGATGATTCCGTGAACGGCTTTAGCCGTTCGATCAATTGGGGCTTAGAACCCGAGACTGGGAGATTGCGTCGCTTTAACTCGACTTTGAGATCGCTCACTGAAGAACATAACCAAGGAAGTTGAGAAGGAACAAATCGAAGAAGTATATTTTTTCGAGTATTTACCTTTCATGTCTTCCAACTTGCCCAAGGGCCTGAGCGGTGGTTGCTCGGATGGATTATTCGAGGAATTCGAGGGCGCGGGACTCGGAGCATTCGCGCTGCTCCCGCTAACGCTTCCGGCATCACTGGCACCGCTGCTTGTAAGAGACAGCGGCTTCTGCGCGGCTGGCAATATAATCTGAGGATACTACGGGAAAGAAAGAAAGAAAGAAAGAAAGAAAGAAAGAAAGAAAGAAAGAAAGAAAGAAAGAAAGAAAGAAAGAAAGAAAGAAAGATAGAAAGGAAGAAAGAAAGAAAGAAAGAAAGAAAGAAAGAAAGAGAGGAAGTAAGAAAGAAAGAAAGGAAGAAGGAACGAGAGAAAGAAAGAAAAAGAACAAAAAAAATTATTTTCCATAAGTTAATTTTTGCGCTTTCCATTGCTCGCTCGTTTCTCCGAACGAGAATTGAGTAATATTCGTAGAGAGAAAGCGTAAGTGTGACGTGTAAGTAAGCGTTCGAGCACATGCATGTCAGTAACGGACATCGTATTATCGCGTGTAGTATCGGTTCGGTATGTGTGTTGTACCTTGTGCTGCCATTCGAGCTGCCACTGAAGGAATAGTTGTTGTTGCTGCAGGAGCAGCTCGTAGCTCGTCTCGCCGGGCGGCGCTGAGCCGAGACCGGGGGGCGTAGACGAAACCGACGTCTTTTGTGCATTTGGCGGACCCTGCCACACAATTATCGCATCGCTCATTAGTCGTGGTTAATCGTTGTTAATCGTTGTTATATCTTTTCTAGATAGGCGATCGATCGAGAACGCGCTTGGAACAGAAGCGGAACTTGCCGAAGTCGAACGTACGATGATATTTAAAGAATCATGCTCGCGAGCATTAGAGGAAAAAGAGAAAGAAAGAGAGAGAGAGAGAGAGAGAGGGAGGGAGGGAGAGAGAGAGAGAGAGAGAGAGAGAGAGAGAGAGAGAGAGAGAGAGAGAGAGAAAGAGAGAGAGAGAGAGACCGCCAGTGAACGTAGGCACGCACCGTTTACGAGTGATAAATGATACATCGCGAATGTTCTCTCTCCGCGCTCTCATTTGCACGGCCGTATCATTCTCGACAGGGGCGCGCTTTCACGCAGGAAAGAGAACAGTGCGGGAGAGGGGGAGCGCCGAATAAGAGAGCGGTCCCTCGCGCGGGACCTATCGACGCGAGGCCTCTCTCGCTCATAGGTGCAATTAGCGCTCGAATTACTCAGAGATAACGAGGTGGGCCCCTCGAGAGATCGCGAGAGTTAATCACCCGATACGATCTCCCTCTCCTTTGGTCTCCACCTCCTCCTCCTCCTCCTCCTCCTCTCCTCTCCTTGTTTCGCCAGGCCACAGGAGCCGAGAGATTCACGGTTGCGTCCATACTCGTTTTTGCCACGACTCTCTTCCAGCGTAAACTCCTCTCTTCTCCGATCTTTTCTTCCTCGCGTTCACCGTCTCCCTTTTTTTTGTTGTCGTCTCTTTTTATCTCGCTCGTTGGCCACGTCGAAACGCGATTCCCCGTTAGTCGAAAACTAGTTTGTAGTAGCACGCAACGATCTTTTTGGGATACTTGGTAATTATCGCGAGCGTCTCCTCCGTACACGCGTTATATAGCAGGTATATTACTTTCGGCTATAAAGCACACGCTTCGCGGCCATTGCGTATGACTGCATATACCTGCACGCGTAAGTATATTTAAATATAAACGAGACGAGAGAGAAAAAGATGGGTTGGGAAGGTAATCTGTTCCAAACGACGAGCTCGTCGATAAAAAAGCGCGACGCGCTGGTTTACCGTTCGTCGCTCGTTACTCCGATACGATTGCAATTCGCTTAAATTTGAATCGGTAGGAGGGGTCGATAAGAGCGGAGCTTTATTACTCACTTTGTACTCGTGAAACTTGATCGTACGCGTCTTAGGTTGGCTCTTGGTTTTGGATTTTTTTCTGTTCTTGTCCTTGCCCGGCGCATCGTTTCTCTGACACGCCGAGGACGCGATCGGACTTGGTTGTGGTCTAGGAGTGATGGCTGCCGGCGGTGGAGCCGGTGGCGAGGCTATCGAGATATTCGACAGAGGACTAAGGCTCGAGGTCGTCGATCCCAAGGACATGGGACTCGACGCCGGCGCCAGTGGGAGCAGCGTGCCCGATGCCCCGTTCGTTTGATTCGCCTGCCGTAGATAGAGAGAGAGATAGATAGATAGATAGATAGATAGATAGATAGATAGATAGATAGATAGATAGATAGATAGATAGATAGAGAGAGAGAGAGAGATAGAGAGAAAGGGAGAAAGAGAGAGAGAGAGAAAGAGAGAGATAGATATAGAAATAGAGAAAGAGACAGAGATATATGTATATATATATATATATATACATAGAGAGAGAGAGAAAGAGAGAGAAAGAGAGAAAGAGAAAGAGAGAGAGAGAGAGAGAGAAAGAGAAAATAAACGTGGAATATTCTTTCGTAATTCTTTAAAAGTTTCTCGAGAAATTTCCTTTTACCTGAGCGGATGGGTGTTGTTGAGCCTGTTGCGTCTGGTGTTGCGAGCCAACGACCGTGTTGCATAGCTCGGCAAAGGTCTGTATCGTTGGTTCCGCTCCGGACGCTTGTTGGAAAACTGGTGACGTCGAGGAGACAACGACCGCACCGCCAGTCGTGGGGATGCTGAGGGAGACCGTGACGATTCCCGCGGAGGCAGCTGCCGTTTCGAGAACGTCCGAACGCGACTCCAATTGCGGCGACGGGGCACCTTCCCCGGAACTTTGGGAGTCATCCTCGAACGTTATGTAGTGATCCGGATGCTGAGGTTTCGTAACCTGTCCCTCGCACGTCGCCTTGAAGGGAATGTGTCCCTCTGAAAGAGAATAATAGACGACGTTTTCCTTTGTTTTATCGTTTTTAAGAGAGATCAAGAAAATCGATCGAGCATGTCTCTCGTACTTACCCTTTACCGCCCTCTCGATGGGTTCCTCCGTATGTAGTATATTCTTTTGAATAAGTTCGAGCGGACCGGGCCTATGACTGAGCTGATCGTTCAATTGGTCGGCTAGTCTGGCCTTCTTCAGCATCCGTTGTCTCTCGGCTAGGCTCGGATCCACGTGACCCACATCTTCGAGTATATGCTGCCTCACGAGCTCTTCCCTACCGGGTCTCTGTTGGATCTTTGCCTTCAACAGATCGCCGGTTTTCGCCCGCTCGAGTTGCTTACGTTGTTCGTGAAACGCCGGCGGAGTTTTCAGGGCTGCACGAAAGAATAATAGAAATTAAAGGTACGTTCGAGATTGGGAGATAGCGAGCGATAATATTTTCGGGAGTATTACGACGACGAGACTCGAAGGCGTTTAAACGCGATGTCATTTTGATGTCAACGTCAAACGTCCTCTCGCATTCCTTAGCGCCATTAACTCGCCGGATAAATGATCCCCGAAACGCTGGGCTCTGTAGGCGCGAATTCACGCGTAATACTATTTCCGTACGGTCGATGCATATGCAGCCACTTCATTACGAGGAATAAAAGAGACCATGTACCACCTACGACGAAGTCGCGCGATGTGGTAATGGAAATGTGTGTTCCTTCCGTTGGTCGCACCGTGCCTACAGCCGTGCCATGCGGCGAGCATCGCTTCTCGTCTCGTTAGTCGCTTTCGACCGATGAGCGAGAAAAATTCTAATTGCGCTTGCTATTTTTAAAAGATTTCCGTTTTTCGATAGCGCAGTCGGCGACAACGGCTGAATCGATATTTACGAATCTCTCTCGCTTCGCTCGCGCAAAGCCACGAAATAAAAATGTCAGGACGAAGTGGCCGAATATAAGAAACGTCGGACAGCTTTAATTTGACAAATAAAATGGGAGGAATACGCGTCGAGCGCGCTTAATGATTGATGCGCCAAAAAGAAAGCAGGCGAATTACGATTCGCGAACGTCTTCGCGTCTCGAGGAGTAATTCTTTATTTCGTCGGTCGTCTTGTTTATTACCGGATTCCTATGGGCCGTCCTCTCGGCGTATTCGATGCGGTAAAAAGATATTTTTGAATTCGTTCTTCGTAAAGTCTCGCGAGAACGTATTCGGGTCGGGTCTGCGTTGCGAATAAAAAATGCAGCTCGCTCGGCTCGTTAAAAAGACCGTATTTCCGCGAAGGCAGCGCATTATTTCGTGGCGTTGGGCCGGAAGTGTAGGTATAATATGGCGCCTTAAAGTCTCTTCCGAAGTCTCTTGCGAAATGAATGAACGCCGAGGGATGCAAGGATATACGGCTCCGTAATGTAACTGGTACTTGACGTATCCGAGGGTGTATTTCCATCGGCCGCGGCGATATATAGCGGCGAGTGCCATAAACGTGCGCACCGACTTCGACAGTAACAAGACCGATATTTCAGGTTGTGACCTAAATAATTACCCCCCGATCCTCTCTCCGTGCGCGCCCCGGTATAAACATTCGACCCATCTCGTAAATCTATTCGTCGCGGCTAGACGGGTGCGATTCTTTTTCGAACGATATTCTTTCCTTCCTTTTGACCTTTTATCTCTTTTTCCTTTTGTTTTCCTCTTTTTTCTTTCTTTCTTTGACCTTTATCGATTTTTACCAAATGAGACAATAAACGAAATACGGGCCGTAATTGCGTGGCAATTAAAAGATCGTGCGACAATTTAGGACACTTTAGACTCGTACGTCGTGCAAGGCGTACCCGTTATCTCATTTCACGCTATTAAGAGGATCACGGTTAATCGCGTGGTTATCGACTCGTAAATGGATTAATCGATGCTGCCGATGAAAAAAGTAATAGTTCACTTAAGCCGAGTACAAAAGAAAAAAAAGAAAAAGAAAAAAAAAAAAAGAAAGTAGGGGAGGAAGGAATTCGCCGTGGGTTCGCGGGAACTGCCGGTCGTCGGACGGTTCGGTGATTGCGAGTTCGAGGCAAATTGCACATCTTCCTTTACGTTACGAACACCTTCGGATTTTATGAACTCTAAAGGTTCGAGATAACTCATACTTACACGGCATAATGCCCTGGGCAACCAGTTGATTTATCGGCCGCCTCAGCATGAGCTTCACCTTCAACGCTGCAACAACAAAAAAAGAAACCAAGGGAATGGATCAAGAGCGATGCGATTTTGCTATACCTCTTACATGTTAGATCTAGTTATTCCTTTTTTCTCGTTTTATCTTTGATACGCTTTCGAAAGGACGAGGACAAAAAGAGAGAATAGGTTGTTGCTCGGCGACTTGGGCGAACAGCCGCGAAACTTCAACATCGCCCGTCGAGGCTATAAAAAATCACGCGAGATCAAAGTCGTTGGTTGCGTCTCTTTAACGATTAGACACAACGTTTCTTCGTTCTGTGTTGTTTTCTTTCTTGGAGCATCGTTAAGAAAGCATCGAAACGAAAGAAATCAAGTTTGGTGAGTATCGCGGAAGGAGAAGGAAAGGTCTCGCGGTATAAAAAGATTCGCAAAGAGGGGAAATGGTATTTGGTCCGTTTAATTAAGGAGGAGCGCGCTCCTTCCTGATCAAAGAAGTCGCGCCGGGAAACTCGTACGAGATCCTTGGAAGGATCAAAGGTCGAGAGGGAGTCCACGCGGTTGGCGCTCTCTCTCTCTCTCTCTCTCCCGCCCCTCTTCCCCCCGTCGGGCGGATCGCGAAGCCAGGTACAAATTAACACACAAAGGGCCCAGAGTTATAAATACGCGCGGACGACGCGGGCCAGATTGCATAAATTGCTTCGCTTCCTACGGGGGAAGGAGAAACAAAACCGGTGCGGTGCGGCGCGGCGGCAGCGAACGACCGCGCGCAATCTGAATTCAAAGCAGCACCGTGCAGAAATCCAAAGCGAAACGCTTGCTTTGCCTCGCTTCGCCCTCTTCGACCGCTTTCGAAGAAGCAACCGAGGAGACTACTAGAAGAAGAAAAATCTCTCTGATTGCTCCCTCCGCTGTATACCGACCTTAGGCCCTATCTAGACCCCTATGTATGCGCATACGTACGTGTCCTTAGGTTCTTGCGTCGAAAGGAATGCGCTGGAAACTCTCTTCGTTAAATACCGACGAAACTTGAAAGAACAAATACTCGAGAGAGAGAGAGAGGGAGAGAGAGAGAGAGAGCTCTAAAGATTGCTCGTAGAGATCGATCGTCCCACGATTGATTTCTTACGATCACGCGGAGAGATTGCTTTATCTCTTAACGAGCCGCTTCAATCGACATTCGGTTTATCGATCCTAGAAATCGCGCGAAAGAGGAAGGTTCTTCGACGCATAGAATATTCAGGGTTCATTAACGCGTCGTGCTTCCGACGTGCTGGGCTTATTAAAAATTCGCCAAACGTAAAGGGACACGAAATAAGTTTCGCCACGCGAGCGGAGCGATATTTGATACAGCTATATCTGGACGTACTCGTGACGGTGTACGAGATAGATGCAGAGGGAGGAGTAAAGAGAGAGAGAGAGAGAGAGAGAGAGAGAGAGAAAGAGAGAGTGGATGCGCCATGGCTCAGAAGAGACAGACGCTAACGACCAGAGCGACACGAGCTACTAAGAAATGCGTAGGACCGAATGCCGCGTCGATCCTTCTCGCGCAAAGACACACGTGCGCAACTATGCACGTGCACGGTTCTCCTGCTGCCTACCTGGTGGCAACTTAAGTTACGACTTTCTAACTTTAAAGATAGCAATCAGCGCGCTCCTCGAATACCAACTAAGATTTTAGATTTTAATCGTGCTCGCTTCACTAATCACTCCCTTTTTCTTTCTCGAGTAGATTACAGTTCCCAATATGTGCGCAAAACGATACTAACGACGATTGCTTCTCACGCGTACAACCGTGCACAATTTATCCGGTTTTCAATTGTCAAAACTTCTCTTACATAGTCTTTTTTTCTTTTGTTTTGTTTTTTTTTGTTTCTTTTTTTGTTTTTTGTTTGGAGAAAGAAACCGACCCCCCCCCCCCCGCCTGTAATGAGAAAATCAAGACAATGGAGAAAGACGGGACGTTATACGATTCGACGAAGGCGTATCTACATACCATAGTTGTACGTTGCGCATAGTTGCCTCGTGTGTGATACTGGGAGTCATGTCTCGCGATCTTGGCGAAAACGACACGGTGGTCCGACGTATTCCAAATTCTTCCGATGTTTCGCATATTTTCGAAGATTTTATTCACGTTGAAGGAAGAGATCGAAGCGCGTGAATATTTTCTTTAATAAACGACGAGCGTACGCAGAGGAATTGGAGAGGAGTAATTTTAGAACTTGGAGACACTTTGAGAAAATTCGAGATACCTTAGGAAGGATTACTTTCGAAGCTTTAGATCGGCGCCAATGGAAGCAAATGCACGGGAGAATTCAAAGATACTCGAAGATACCCCGAAGACACGCGTGCCGCGCTCCATAAGTATCTACGCAATGCATAGAATGCAAATTTACGCGGCGCATTCCTGCCAAGTGAATCCCCCCAAGCGCATTGTACACCACCTTCGCCACCTCCGTCGTCGTTTTAAACGCCGCAACCGCCAGCGCCATTTTTACGAAAGCTCGATCCCCCCTCACCCTTCCTCTCTCACTGCTTCTAGCGAGACTAAGGCGAGAAAAAAAAATTTCAAGTATTTTTTGAAAGATAGAAAAACGACGATCGTTTCCGAAACTTGTCGCACATTTTACGAGCATCCGTTTTCTCGCGCGTGCTTTGCTTTACGAACGCGGAAGGGTGGAGGAGGTCGGTGGGAGATAAATCAACGCGAGCGGAATCCTCGCGCCCGGCGTTAAAGTGTTAAGGAGTTCCGGAAGAGACCGCCGGATTCCTTCGCGGTCCCATAAATATTGCACTCGACTCCGACGACGATTGGTACCGTTTTGACCCCAATTTTCAAACTTCTCGTTTCTCGCTTTATCTTACAAATCGTTCTGGCGTTCCAGGACCTCCTGGAAAGTGGAAAATTTGTCGACGGTCGTTGTGTGGGGCCTATCGCGTTCGATACTTTTTCTTCGTTTTAATGACATATCATCGAGTTATAACGTGACATAAATCAAGAGGTGAGAGCACGTACTTTCGCAACACCCTGTAGAAGATGGAAATCGGGCAAATGCGAAATAGAAAGGCCACGACGACGTAAGCCGTAAGCATAAGACACACATTTACGTCGGTACGAATCGCGGGGGTGATCCAATAATACGCCAGCTTTGGGTATAAATAAAGCTTCTAGGCCCGGAGATTACGAAAAGGAGAGATAGAGATGGAGAGATCTCGTCTACTCTCGCCACTTCACTCGTCCCCCCTCCTCTCTTTCTTTCTCTCTCTCTCTCTCTCTCTCTCTCTCTCTCTGCCCTACCCTGTAATTCTTCTCTCGTTTTATGGTTCTCGATCTTCCTTCCACTTTTACTACTCCTTCTAGTCGAGCCGACTGGACGCGTGACATTTTTCAAAATAGATACTCGCGACCTCGCGTCTCTTCCTCCATCTCCGACTCATTCTTTTTCGTCGCGTTACGCCCACGCGTTTGTCGAAAGCTTTCTCATAAATACGAACGAGTCGAGGAACGTTCCATAAGCAGCGATCTAATCTATCAAACGGTAGTTGGCAAAAATAAGTGACGCTGCTTTTCCGTATTTTTCCAGAAAGAAACTTTTTGAGGACGGACCCGGAGAAGTCGGCGAGGAACAATTTGATTTACATCTCGCTGCCGCGTTTTATGCGTCACGAGGGAGAAGAATCTTTTCTTAGACGTCCATTAGCCTTAGACAATATTACGGTAATAATAACAGGGCCAGGAAATATGAGAGCGAGGGAACGTATACACGACAATGTGTATCCGACTTTTCATTTCTAATTCACGCGACGTTGAGAAAGAAAATGATGGAAAACAAAAAAAAGCGAGAAAAAGAAAAAAAAGAATCGAACGAGATTCATCCCAAGGAGTATATCGATCGGGCCCTTCCACCTTTTCAGCTAATACGTACGAACGAGGGAGGAGTGTCGTTTTATCGTCGATTTATGAGATCGTGAAGGAAATATAAAAATAAACGAAAAGACAATCGTTGTAGGTTCTTCGACGTTGCGTGCGAACTCTCTTTGAGAAAGAAAATAATTAAAACGTCAGGTTTATCGCGGATGAAAGAGCGATTCGCTTTAAAATAACGAGTCAAGCCACGGAGATAATTGTCGGCTCTAAGGCAGCCACGCTAATTAGAATTCGCGGCCGTTCGTCGTGAATTTACCGTCGCGGTCTGAATTTTTCAAGCGCATTTCCCGCCATTGTCTTTCGATTGGCTCATACGCGATTGGCCGGAGTATAATAGCGTCGATCAAAGCTCGTTTGTCGTCAACGTTTCGACTTTTTAAATTAAAGCGACGATATTTTGGTTAATATTCTCTCGAGATATTTCTAAGATCGATTGTGCGTGATGTTCGCTTATAGGAGCGAGGGCACGTGTGTGCGCGCATGGTTCCCGCCGACTCTCCTTACGTAGATATATTAGTGCGACGTGAACGTAATAAAGGCGCGTTAGCACGCTCCGCCTACCGGTTACGCCTTCTAATCGATACGAACACTTGTCTTTCTTAACGGTTCCCCTCCCCCGCTCCGTCAGGAAAAGAAGGACGATAGTTTTCCTAGAGGAATTAGATCGAATCCTTCGAATTTCTTTCGAAATAAAGACGGACTATGGATCCCGATCGTTCGGATTATTCGCTCGTCGGAGGCGAGCGTGCGACGTGTCTACTCGTATACGAAATCTAAAAATATAATCGATGTCGCAATCTTCGTTTACAACTAATTTTATCGGAGGCTTGGAAACGGCTAAAACTCAGTCGGCGAGTGCGCGACCGTCAGGGAGGAGTACGCCTGACGATCATAAATCCTGCTCGCGAGGATTCTGACTTATCTCGATTCGTGCCACCCCTTCGCTCTCTCTCTCTCCCCCGCGTCGCTTGATTTTTTTCCTTTTACTTTTCTACGGCACTCTCTTCTTCGAGCGCGCGCGCGCGCGCGCGTGCGAGCCAAAGGAGAGGGAGGAGGAATCGTCGGTATTTTTAATCTTTCGCTCGACGCGAGGGCAGGACGTTGCCTTTGGGGA